TTTGCCTGATTTCATTTTAATAGATCTTGATATGATGTGATGTTAAATTTGTGTGTCCAAAGATGGAACTTTTGGATGAAAAAAAAACTACCGACTAACTAACTATCAATATGACCGTATGTTATTTCGTAATGTTCATCATTTAATACTGACAAAACAATGCATCTGCAGCAGCAGTTTATTTTTTTTTTGGTTGATTTTATAAGTTACTCTGTGTGCGTGTGTGGATCATCAGTTTTAATTCATTTTTTTTTCTTGATTCACTTGAATCTCTATCTATATTGTTCATTGTGTGTTTTTTTTCTGGTTCAAAATGATCATTTCGAAACAAATTAAAATTTTAAATTAATTTCGTTTCTACCAGATTTCTCAACACACACACACACACACACACTATTACCAAGTTACACAATGGTAACGTGATGCTCACTCGAATAAAGTGGAAGGAAAAAAATGACCATCATCATTTTTTTTCTTATTCTACCCGAACTGAATTATTTTTGAACAAGTTACGATTACTATAGTAGACTGTTTGGGTTTATTTTTCGGCTGAAAAGTGAGAAAAAAAACTAAAATTCAATTAAAAAAAAGTTTTAGATTTTTTTTTTGATTTTTTTTTTTGATTGTTTTTTTCCACTGATGATGATTGAAGAAGAATGGTCATTTTGCTTATGGTTGTTTTTTTGTTATTGTTTCTGGATTTGATCAAGTTTTTTTTGGTTATTGAATTTTTTTTTTTTTGTTCTACAATCCATCAATCAAGGTATATGCGTGTGTTTTCAGTTTTTATGTGAAAAAAAAATTCAATCAAAATGATCAGATATACGCCATCCATTGACCGATGGACAAATCATCATTCAAATGTTGTTGCATTGCATTGCATTGGATTTTTTTTAAGCGAGAAAAAAAATCATTTTTGAATCGACTAAAAAAATTCTGGCAATTTTTCGTTTCTCTTTCATTTCCAATCATATGTCTTCATTATCATCATCATGTATTATATTTGACATTCAATCATCATTATGTCATTTTTTGGCTTGTTGATTAATTTTAAATGGATTTTTTCTTTTTTGGTTGGATTTTCAACCAGCATCATTTCACATCCATTTAAACATAATTTATCACATTAGTTTTATATGGAATAATTCTCAATATATCGGGTTTTGGAGTTTTGAAATTTTTTTTTTAATTTAAATAAATGCACATTTTGTACAGTACACAACACACAGGAAAGAAAGAACGAAGGCGGGTAAAGGATTCATTCTTTCTTGCACTTTTGTGTTTGTGTGCTTGTATGGCAAAGAATCATTTATTCCTGAGATTTATTATGAATTAGATGGGCTGTACTCCTTTTTCACTCTTTCTCTCTCTCTCTACTCATTCATTGTTGCCTGCTGAACAATGAATGAATAAAAGATAGTGGGTAATAATAATAATAATAATAACGGGTTGATGAAAATATGCTATGCTATTTATTCAAATGAAATGGCCTGCTTGAAATTCTTGCATATAAAAATAGGCCTGGTTAAAAAATTCTATTTTAATTGTAAAGGGTTGAAAAATGTATGTGAACGCATACATAACATTAGCCATTGAATTCTATAGATTCTCTCGCCATCTCCATTTTTATATACAAGAATAATAAATGAAAATAAAAAAAAAAAAATTCGGCACTGCCTACACAACCCTTTTCATTTTATTCTTAAATCACTGTGTTTTTGAAAACGTCATATTTTGTTGTTGAATTGCAGAATTTTTTTTTTCGTTCTGCATGATCACCACTGATAAAAAATTTTTTTTTTGATCGATATCATATGAGAATTCTATAGAATTAAATTGATCAGAATTTTGCCACAGTATTAAAAAAAATGTCATTCTCGGTTGACATTATCATACATCACGATCAACAAAATCCGTTGAGCATTTGTGTGTGTGTGTGTGTGTGTGTGAGTTTAATTTAAAATTTAATTTAATTTCAATATTAAGATTTTCTTTTGACATTACCATCATCATCATCATCATTGACAATAATAACAACAACAAATATTCATTCGAAATTGATTTTGTTTAGAAAATTCAAAGAATTTTTTTTCTCTTTTTTTTCATAAGGCCACTGAATTTGAAAATGTTTTTCTTTTCGTTGAATTATTTCATCTTGAACTTGTTTCCATTTTCAAGCGAACATACACACATCGTTCGAAATGTTTTGGAATATTGGAAAAAAATCCAATCAATATTTGTATTTCTGTATTTATTCAGAACGATCGAGAGAGAGAGAGAGAGAGAGAGAGAGAGAGAGAAAGAGAAAAGGTTATGTCAGAAATGTTGGGTGAAAAAAAAATGCAAAGGTTCGATTCTTTTTACTCTCTCTCCCTCGTTCATGATTGAAATTCAAACCTAATTTATAACTTTATCATCATTCTCTCAAGATAAATGTTTAGATTGCCTCAATAATGATGATGGTAAAAAAAAAGAAAAAACAGAATTCTGCATAATAATAATTCTGTGGAAAATGAAAAAGTGCATCACATTTTGGCATTCATCATCATCATCATCTGCCTTATAGGCTTTTTTTAGGCTTCATTCAAGCATCATTTTCAGCCATCACTTAAGAATGAAATGAGAAAAAAAAATAAAATTTAATGTAAAATAAGAAAAAACGAAAATTCAACCATTAAAATCATCAGAATTGATAATCAACTTGGTGGTGGTGGTGGTAGTGGTGGGGAAGGGGGAGGAGAAAGAAGAAAAAGGAAAATTCTGAATATCAAAAACGATTCTCTGTAACGTAAATGTGAATGCAAAAGTACCCATCAATTTTCCTACCCACCCACCCGCATTCACTAACGTTATTATTTAACAGAATATTCCATTAACTATCTCTTTAGGCTTCTTATTTCTTCTTGTGTCTCAAACGATGTATAAGATAGTGTTCTATCGATGAATCTTTTTTTTACAAGATAAATTCTGTACACTCAAAAAAAAAATTAAATGCATTCATTATACCATAGTATTAGATGAGTATGCATGGAATACATTACACATCATCATCATCATGGAATGATGGAAAAATAAAAAAAAGGGAGGATGAATGAATAAATTGATGATTCGTCTATGGGCGATGCCATTCATTTTTTCTTTCTCTAGTTTGTCTTGTTATATTTACAACAGTCGATGTAATGAAAATTTTTTCCAAAATTGTGATTTTAAAATTATTTTTATGCTAAACAGTAATTACTTTTAAATGTAATAAATGCTGCAAAAGCATCATTATTACAAGCTGACTATAGTATCGTTTTTTTTGCCGATTCTGTGCCATATCATCATCATCATCATCATCGATTACATCAATCGTACCGATTGGAACGCTGATTTCGATCTGGTATGCTCTAGCATCGAATCGGATAAGACCCTATTTAGTTTTGCTTCGTTTTTTCTTTTTGGTTCAAAAATTTTCAAATGAAAACAAACTTTTATTCAGAAAAAAAATCAAGAAAGAAAAATTCTAATTCTAATGCTAATGCTCAGAGAGAGAGAGAGAGAGAGAGAACTATACAAAGACCGAAACAAAATTGGCAACGATGACGATGTTGACGACACAACGTACACAGCTTGTCATTGTCGTTGGTGAATACAATTTTTTTCTCCACTTTTTTCAGCTAAACTTTGTGGCAATTTTTTCCAATTTGGGTTTCCATTTCCATCTGATTCCAGAAACAGTAGCTTGTTAGCCTTTTTGTGTATGTGTATGTGCGGATTCTATTCTTATTATTCTTTTTTTTTTTTTTGAAGCAGCCGATCGATTGATTCATTCGATTAGATTCTATCCGACGCTCTATACTGTATGTGTGTGTGTGTGTGCGAGCCCAAAAAAAAAAAAAAAGTGAATGAGGGAGTGAGTAGTTGAAAAGCTTTTCAAAATTAAAATTTGAATTTTATTAAAATTTTTTTTTCACATTCGTTCATCGTTTATTCAATTCACTGAACGTTGTTTGTGTTGTTGTTGTCGTCGTCGTCGTCGTTCCATCAATGATTCTATAGAATCATGGAGTAAGAGAGATGGAAAAGTGAAGAAAAAGCAAAAAAAAAAAGAAATTAAAAAATCTAATATTTTCCAAGGATTCTTTTGACTGGAATATAGAATATATTGAATATAAAAAAATTCGATGACGATTGCAATGACAATTTTTTTTTCTTTGAAAAAATGAAAATATTGCCATAACATGAACAATAATAATAATAATAATCGATGACAATCAATGAATGAATGACGTATGTATGTACTAGACACTCTTGTCGTTTCAAATCATAAGTGTTTGACGTGGAAATGAAAATGAAAATTGAAATGAAATGAAATGAAAAAAAGATTTTGAATTGAATTTGGTGAAGTAAAAAAAAGAATGTTGTGTTTTTTCAATTGGTTTTCTTTTTTTTCAGATTTCGCAATCAAAATTTAACTCAAAAAAAAAAATTTAATTGTCACATCATACGGATTTTTTTTCTGTTATTATTTCACAAATAATTGATGGACAATGATGATATAAGTGGTGCTTTTCAAAAAAATGTTTCGATATTGTTGGTTCAGCTGGAAAAAAAATCAAAATCAAAAAAAAGAAAGAATCTTCAAACAACAAAGAATTTTCTTTTTCTCACCTTGAAGATTTCTGATCCAGAAAAAAACGGTATTCAGAACAAAAGAATGAAAAAAATTCAATTTAACGCTACAATAATTATTTTCAATTGAAATCAATGAAAATTATTGAACAGACAACAAAAAAAAACCATTCGACCAATCTTTGTTGAAATCTTAATTGCCAATTTAAATTTGTTATACACACACACACATTGCACATAATAACAAATACTAAGGTTCGGATGATGATTTGATAAAAATCATCATTTTTTCAGTTTTGTTTCGAATCAATATTTAATAATATCATCGACCATCAGATGGCAGTTCAATCGTATAATAAACAGCCAGTTGTTTTTATTTTATTTTTTTAGTTTAATGCTGACGATTCGTTCAATTTGGCAAATGTTTTTTTTGTTTTGAATTTCGAAAAACATTTGGTTTCAATCATTTCGCTGATGAATTTGTACCAATTGATTGATTGATTAATAAATTTGGGCGTTTTTCTCAATATATGTGACTATTTTCCGAATTCAAATTTGATCTGTTCATTTGCATTTTTGATCTCGTTTGTTTTACAATGAAAATGTATCGAAAAAATTTTCATCTCACCACATGTTCCATCATTTTTGCGATTATTCAATTTATAATCATCATACATCGAGCTAAATCAAAAGAATTATCTATGAATGAATTTGATGATTGGGATAAAAGTCAAAAATATCTGTTTGTCTTATTCTATTCATCAGAGTATGTATTTTGATTGTTGGTTAATTTTCACATTCTTATCTTTGGTTTTTTTTCGGTTTTCCTTTTCTATCCACTAGGTCATGTAAACGTTGTGCACAAACTTTACTCGATTGGAAATTATTTGAAAATCGTTTCGGTAATGTTCATTTATTTTCTGAAGTCCAAATTGGACATGTTGATTGCAACGTACATCGTGATCTTTGTTCACGTGAAGATATTCAAGAACTACCGATGGCAAAATTATATGTTGAACTTAATAAGATTACTCGAATTGAAATCAATTATGAATCGAATGAATATGATCGAAATTCGTTGGATATGTTTTTATTGAAACAAATCACTCGATTCGGATTTCAACAACAAGATTCTCAACGACAACAACAGCAACAACAATCGGACATTTCATCCGATGAATCGGCGGATGAAACCGGTGGATTCACTGTTATGCAATTGAAAGCTAAAAATGGTTTATATGAATTAACCGATGATGATTCAGCATTGTTTCTTAGTCAAGGACAACATTTTGTCAATTTTTATGCACCATGGTGTTCACATTGCCAGCATCTAAAACCTAAATGGGAAATGATTGCAAAATCATTGGAAAATAATGAACAAGTTAAAATATCGCAAATAAATTGTCAAGAAAATATCTATGCTTGTAAAATGCAATACAAGATTAAAGAATATCCAACACTATTATGGATATCGAATGGAAAAATTGTTGCACGTTACAAAGGTTCACATGAAATTGATCACATTAAATCGTTTATCAATTCTCAATTGACTGATTTTGAATTGGATAAATTATTGAAAAAATATTCCGATGCTGATTCCGGTATTGAAGAATTGGAAATTGATTATCGAAAGAAAACATCAAATGTTATACTGTTGAATGCGGATAATTTCAAAGGGACCACCGATTCTGGTTGGACATTTGTTCATTTTACCGTACCATGGAGTAGACATTGTCGTCAAATGAAATCAGAATGGGATAAATTCAGTATAAATGTACCGAATTCATTGAAAGTGGCCAAAGTGGATTGTTCTATACAAGAAAAACTTTGTACATTGGAAAAAATTGATAGCTATCCAACATTGATGCTTTATCATGATGGCCATAAATTGCCGGAATATGATGATAAATTACGTACAGCAGATTCATTTCTACAATATTTCAATATACAATCAAATAATTTACCCAAAACTGAGTTATAGAAATTATTATTATTAGACCAGTTTGCCAACCGATAAAGACCTGTCTATATAATACATATGTGATTTTTAATTTCCTGTGACATTTTGTATTCTTTTTTTTTCTTCATTTTTCCAATGATAATTGAATTTTGAATAAAAGGTAAAATTGAAATAATGATTTTGATAATGGTGTCAATTATTATTATTATTATTATTATTAATTCAATCAAATAAATATATAAAACACAAACACAACAATCAATCAATCAAAAACAAGTTATGTGCCATTATTGTTTTTTGTGGTTGAAATGCAGAAAGCACAAAAAAAAAAAAAATGAATCAAAAATCAAACAAGATCCGTGATCAAATGATTGAAATTTGATTGATTCAAAAAAAAAAAAGACAAAAATGAATAAATAAATAAATCGAAAAAAATTGTTGATTAATTGTATAATATAAACATGCTAATAAATAGTTCCAAAAAAAAGTTTAGTGTTGGTGTGCACTTTGTGGGTGTGTGTGTGTATAGTGTTCATTGATGAAGATAAATATTTTGTTTCGAAAAAAAACGATAAAACATTTCCAAAAAAAAAACGGTGATGAATAAAAAAAAACATCAGCATTCACGAATGCAAGATACACTTCAAATACACTTTGAATTATCACCGAATATATCTCACACACACACACAAATACAATGGTATGTGATGATGATTGTGTATGAAAGATGACAATAAAATTCATCATCATAATAATAATAAAATATATTTGGAAAACAAAACAGCCAAATGACATTCAAACAAAAAAAAAAAAGGCTTGAACCATAATTAATCAATGAATTGGTGAATGAATCGATTTTGTATATATGTAATGTGTATATTGTAGGAATTGATCACACCCAAAAATCAAAATTATTATTATATAAATATATATTGTTGTTTGGCGAAAAAATTCGCATACTGTTTCTGTGTAATTTTTGAATGAAAAACATTAAATTTCAATCAATATATTACATACATATGATGATGATGATTAAAATTGAGATTTTAAAATTTTGTAAATTATTGTTTTTGATTTTAATAATGTAAATGGTGATGATGATGATGATGAATTGTGATTACGATGATGATGATGATGATGTGGTGGATAAAACGCACACACACACACCCACACACAACACAAAGATGAGAAAAAAGTTCACAGAATTTTTTTTGTTTGTATTGTTTTGTTTTGTTTGAAGTTATGGTAAAACATTTAAATTGAAAAAAAATGTGTGTGATTGTATTGGTGCTTGTCAATCGATATTTATATAATAATCGATTAAGAATGAAGATACTAAATGTATATATTATATATCTATGAATCGGTGCAATATATATATGAATATAATAGATTGGTGTGTAAACAATAGGTAAAAATCCAGATTTGTAGAATGAAAAAAAAAAGAAAGAAAAAAAAATCAGATCAAAGATCCAATGTGATTGTGATTGATTTTCAAAATGATTGTAATTGATAAATGAATAAAGTGGCTCAAAATGAATTAATTTGGTCCAATCATTCAGTCCACATCATCATTAATTTTATTTCATTTCACCATGCATCCGTATAACGAACATCAACTTCTTGTAATGATGGTAATTTTTGTTTCAATTTTTCATACGTTTGTGACGATAGATTTGTACTATTTAGATTCAATTTACGAAGATCTTTCAATGCTATAAAATCAATGATTAAAAAGAGAAAGAGAATTGCTGATTAGTTAAAAAACAAAAACAAAAAAATATGACGTCAAAATACCTGTAAGATAAAGTAATCCTTTATCGGTGACAGGTGTTTCACATAGATTAAGAACCTGTAATTGTGTCAAATGTTCAGCAAGTAATTGTAGACCAGAATCACTGAACTGTGAATAGAATATGATTAGATTGGGAAAAATCGAATAGATTCAATGTACCTGTGTAGACCAAAGATTTAAATAACGAAGTGAAGGCAATTTAATCAGATGATGTGCACTTGCACTGGTCACCTGTGTAAATGCCAATGAAAGACTTTCAAGATCACCAAATGAACCAGCGCTTAATAAACGGGCCAGATCAGCATCAGTTGATCGTGAAGGCAGTGTCAGTTTTTTTGGTCCACCTTTCTTTTGCTAAATAAAACAGAAAAAAAAACAAAGGCATTATTAGTCAACAAACAAACAAAAACGTATTTACTTACAAATTCCCTGAGATGTAGTTGTCTTTGACAAAGATCATCATATTGTTGTTGGCCAGTGGATGTACTTTGTAATGTTGTTATTATTTGCTGTTGTACATCGGATGAATTTTCAATAAGCTCCATTTCAATCATATCGCATAATATTGTCTGACAGGTTTCATCCTCTCTTAATGCCAATAATAAACAAGCATCCAATGATGATTTAATCAATACTTGATAGAATCTTTTACGTCGACAACAACAGCCAATCAGTGTTTTGAGCTAATAATAATTGATGTGATGGAGTGAACAAAACAAAAAAAAAAAGAATAATTATTATGGATACAATTCAAATGAATAATTTAGAAAACACAAAGATCTTAGAATATTAACCCTATCTTTTCTTTTATGTACAATAAAATATTTTACACATAATAAAATGTAATAAAAAATTCATAATCATTTCATTGTCAATGTCCGAAAATGATGATTGGATTATATGTATGTTCTCAATAAATGATACATACCATAATGCTCCAAAGTTGACCATCATCATCGCAACCAATATTACCCGGTGCATAAAGATCAAGCCAATTGGATTTATTCTCACGTATGCCCAATAACATTTGATGTACATCACATCGATGATCATTGGCCAAATTCTCAATCACAGGCTTGAATAATCTAATATTTGAAAAAAAAAACCAAAATGATTCATATAACTCGTTTATGATCAATACTCAAAACTTACAAGAAAAATTTCGGATCACCCAATGCTGAATCCGGTAATGGAATCGGTTGCAGTATTTGAGCTAATGATAATCGCCAATCTTCATATTGTGATCTAGTAAATTAAACGCAATATATAAATTTGATTGTTTTTCACAGACAGATATGAAAACAATGCTTACATAAAACGAAACATATCGATAAAACAATTGACATGAATTTGCCATTCTTCATCATCGATCTGATCTAGATCTGTATCAGCAACATTTTTAATTGATTGATGGCCATGATGAATTGAATCCAATTGACGATATTCAAACAATGAGAATATTGTTGCCAAACAAACCGATACTAGATTGCTAATGACACGTGGATGTGGACACATCATTGTTCGTCCATGAACACTATTTTTTTGTGTGGGGAAAAAAGTGGATAAATTCTAATTAATATCGTTGGAAAAAAATTCATTCACATTCATACCTATAGATAAATGTCTGTATCAAATGATTGCCATCATTATGTTTATTCAATGCAACAAAATAATCCTGTACAAGAACACGCATTCGTGGATATTTACCAAAATCCATATTATGTTTAAGTATACGTTGAACAATTTCAGCATAATATTCACAAATAACTATTGAACGTGGATATTTACGGCAATGCTGTAAAAATGAAATGATTGTTTGAAAAATAACAATATCAAATCAAGTTGATAACCCAGAAGACTAACCTTGCTTAAAAATCGACAAATCTCAATACTTGGATTGGTACGTTCCAAAAATGGTGATAATAATTTAATAATTTCTTCATTCAATTTTCTGGCTGCAAGCTGCATTTCTGCAGTTTTTTCATCATCTCTTTCAAACTGTTTGATTAGTCAGAAAAAAAGGTAAACGAACCATGAATAAAATTTTTTGTTTTTTTTGTTTGTATTGTAAGGATTACAAATGAATGGAAACAACAATCAAAACGACGGAATTAATCAGGGCCAATGACATTTAAAAACAAACTTACATCTTTAAGTCTTAGCAGCAATAATTCATTGATCACATCCAATGACGTTTGATAAATACATTCATCCTGTAATGGCGTAGTCAATGTCAATTCGATCAAATTCTATTTTAGTTTAGTTTTTTTTCAAAAGAATGAAAAGAAATCCGGAATCCGAAAAAAAATCAAAAAAATCATCATCATCATCATCATTTTTCAACAACAAAACAAATAAATAAACAAACAAACAAACAAACTTTTAATTCCTTTGTAAGCACATCAGGCCGAATCGATGGGTTGGCCAATATTTGTTGATATTTGAGCATAAAACGCTAGATATTAATAGGACAGAATGAACAACAACAAAAAAAAAATTTGACAAATTGTAAATGTTAAAAGATGAAATCAAAATGTCAACAAATTCTTCAAAATGAATGAATAAAAATATAAAAAAAAAAATTTTAAAAATTTATTTTTGGGACCGTTTTCTTTCTTTTTTTTTTTTTTTTGAAAGAAAAGAATTCTTGTGAAATTGCCGTCTTTTATTCATGTATCTAAAATATGTTGTTGTTGTTTATCATGGCGCGATGCTAATAAATGAAAATGTGAAGAAAAAAAAGCCCTAAAATAATGAAATTTGAACAAAAAAAAAATTTTTTTTTAGAAAAATGTCGTCATCATGCATCTTGAACGTTGAACATCTTTATTTTCACACACACACACGCACACACACTACTAATTAATGTCAATGAATTGATATTGTGTATGACGATGATGTCATTCATTTTTCCCTATATATTTATATTAGCATTTGGCAAAGTTTTGACGGTAAATTCACGTCATTAATCAATATTCATCATGAGAAAAAAATTCCATTTAAAAACTGTTTACATACCTTCCAATTGATTGAATAAAGCCATTGATCACGTACCCATTTGTTTGGTAGCTGTTGTGATATTTTTGAAAAAGAAAATTGGTAAAATCCAAAATAATGAATGAAAAAAAATTTTTACCTGTAACAATACCGATCCATCAGAAACAACGATACGAATGTAAAATTTTTGATTCGTATCCCAACGATTTACGGCATATGCATTTTCAATCTGACTATATGGTACTGGTACTTCCATAAAACCAATTGGCTATTGGTAAGAATGAACAAAAAAAATAAAATTAAATTGAAATTCTAAAATTCATTCATTCATTGACAAAAAAAAAAAAAAAAACGAAAAAATGATGATTCCTAACTACACCACTACTAAACCGGTAGTATTAATTCTGGCCATGAACGAATGTAATTGCGTGTATGTTTGTGTTTGTAAAAAAATTCAATCTACGTAATAATAAAAATATAGATAAAGGCAATAGCAGGTCGCGATCTATTAATGTTATTGCTGTCTACTATATGATGATGATGATGATGTGTAGACCGAATGACCTAGTTTCCATTCACATAATTCTCATAAACCCCAACGAGAATCATTCATTGATTCAAACATTTTGGTTTTCTTTCTATATCAACAAAAAAAAAAAAAAACAATTTCGGTCAAAGACTTTTTTTTTGCTGCATTACACACACACACACTGTGTATCAACTAGTTCAATGTATATATGATGATAAAACTGAATGAATGAATGAATGAAAAATTTCAGTCGGTTACGTTGACGTAACCGAAAAGAAAAAAAAACACTGTGTGTGTGTGTGTAGTGTTTGTGTTTCAGGAACAACAACAACAACAACAACAACATGAATCGTCATTCGTATATTTTTGAAAAAAAAACAAAGTGCCTACGTGATTCTATCGACCTAAAAAAACTGTGTCACACACACACACACACACACACATAGCATAGCCTGTGTCCTTATTATTATTGTTTTCAATTTCCTAAATCATTCATGAAAGATTTTCATGAATAAAAAAAAACGTAACCAACTTTTTTTTTGTTACAACAAACACTTTCAGCGCATAATCGCAATGGAAAATGATTTTTTTTTTCGTTCACCATTTTTGAATTTACAAATGAAAAATATTGGGAATGGGAAGAAAAAAAAATTCAATGAATGTAAAATTGGGACACGATTTTTCTTTCTTTTTTTTTGGACACAATTTCAATGACAAACGCACACACACACACACAAAATGATGACGTTATTACGTGGAATTAACAACGAAGCAATGAATCGGATATTATGAACATTTTTATATATAATCTGATCAAAAAAAAAACCAACAAAACAACAACAATAAAAATAAACGAAAGAATCGGGTTAAAAAGTCAAAATAAATGCAATGACATCATCATCAATGAATTTAATTTTTGAAAAAAAAATTTTGTCATTTTTTAAAATTATTTTTATTATTACTAATCACGCCTAACAATAATGAAAATTTTTCAGGAGAAAAAAAAATATGAAATTTTCATTTCAAGACCATTAGAGAATATTCAATTTACAAATTATGATGAAAAAGACCACAAATTTCATCATCAGTTTAATTAATTTCGTCAAAGTAACGTAATATGTTCCATAATCAGGATGATGAAGAATTTCAAAAAAAATTTTTTTTTTTTTTTTGGAATCAGCCAAAAAAAAGCTAATGCGAATCCTATATACCGTTTAGATTATATAGTAAAAATATAAATCAACGACAAAGACAAGAATCTATTCTTCTTCTTCTTCTTCTTTATTCACCAAGAATTCTGTTCAGCATCCACAACAAAAATAAACACTAGATAGGCCATGTACATGTGTGTGTGTGTGTGTGCGTGTGTGGATTCAAGTGTATTGAACTTTTGGCATTTAACAGAATGAACAAGAAAAAAAAAGAAAAGTCGATTGAACCCAAAAATTCTGTTGTATACCCGCATTCTATATTATTGGTGGTTAATGTTATGATGGTTTTTTTTTTTTGTTGATGATGATGATGATGTTGGTTGTTGTTTATGTTGTTTCAAGTTTGGCACCATTCATTCAATCTACATCATCAATATTTATATCGATTCTTTCTCTCTCTCATTCTCTTAATATATGCGCTTGATTTCATCGTATCATCATCATGTTAATGTTGTTGTTGTTGTTGTTTGCATCATTGATTTAATCAATTAAGAATAAAAATTGGTCGATTAAATGAAAACAAAGTGGTGATGGTGGTGGTGGTGGCGGCACTGAGGGGGAAAAAATACATGAAATGAAAAGAGCGAAAATAAAATAAAAATTAAACATATGGCCTTTATGTGTTTGTTTGTTTTTTATGTTTATGTTTTCGAAACACACACACACACACACACACACACACACTAAACATGTAGAATTTATTATTTCTTCTCGTCTACTACAAATAACAAAACAACAACAACAACAACAAATAATGATGAAAAAAATGGGCCAGAATATTGTACCAAGAACAACGATAAACGACGTCGACAAATGAAATTGGAATTTGGATGTTTTTTTTATTTGCAATTAAAAATTGAAATTTTATTATTTTTTTTGTGGTCATAATAACCACGTTACATTTCATATACCATCAATTCATCTATGCTATTTAGATGGACACAACCAACAACATTATTATTTATTGGTCATCAAAATGAATAAAAAAAAAAGAAAAGGTTAACCAGAAACGTTAAAAAAGTTTAAAATTGGCTCTATTGAATATAAAATAATTCAAGGTTTTTTCTTCTCTCGTTCTTCATTCATTTGTTATTATTATTATTATATTGTCTGTGAGTTGTTTATATGTATCGTTGTCGTTGTCGTTGTTCATATGTTTAGAATTTTTCTGGTTATAAGAAACAAAACCATAACAAAGCCATTCATGACGTCAATATAAAATTAATAGTTAGATATTTATACACATGAATGTTTTGCGTGTATGTGTCTGTCTAAATGATACATTTATGATGATGATGGTTATGGTGTTTTTGAATGATTGTATCGAAGAAAACCAAAAAAAAAAAAAAAAAAGAATTGATACAAAAATTGTGACCTAAATTCACTAATTTCCCATTTTATGGGCTGTATCTTCTCGTTCGTGTGTGTGTGTGTGTGTGTGTCTGAACGATTAATACATGAAACTATATATTAATAAAGTCTGTTTTCATCATCATCATTTATGCAAATATATTAAATATCAACATTAAAAATATGATGTCATCATCAACATCATGTAATCGGTAATTAAGAAATCAAATGTCGCGTCGTCGTCGTCGCTATTTATTTATTCATAGATTCCAAACAAAACAACAAAAAAAACTCATAAGTAAATCATGATGATACTGGCTGCTAATAATCGAAATCGGAAATATTCTCTAATTCTAGATTATTGATTAAGAGGTGACCTACATTGGTCATCACATGTATACCGTTGGATATCTGAAAACAATAATCATCATCAAATTGAATTTATATGATGAGATTATCATCATCATCATTATATTTAGATCTCACAACAACACAACAATGACGACAAAAATGGTTTGACTGTTTTTCACCAAAAAAAAAAAAAAAAAAAAAAAAAAATATAGATTATCATCATATCGACGTGTTTATGTGTATGCATGTGACAATGAACAATGACAAATTTTTAGTCGGTATTTAATAATGATAATTTTTTTTATGAGAATAATACAATATCTGGAAAATATAATCAACATAATAATAATAATAATAATGATGATGATGATAAAAAACAATGAGTCTCTTGTAATCATCATCATCATCAAAGGAGACTTAACTTTACTTTTATTGATTCAGTCAGGTTCCTGAAACTATTCCATTGCAATATTGCAACTGGTCTGGGATTCGGAAAAATAAAAACAATAAAAAAAAATAAAATGAAATAAAAAATAGCATCATCATCATCATCAGCACGACAACAACAACAACAACAACAACAAGAATGAACCCAGAATTTTTTTCCATGAATCCATAATTCGTATATACATTGATGCACATACATTGTTGCCCTAATGTATAAGAGTATATGCGCGGGGGAGAGCAAAAAAGATATATATGTTGTGAAACATGGAATTGATCAATCCAAACTGAACCAAACAAGCAACTATTTTGATAGAGATGAAAAAAAAATAACATACAATTTTTCTTTTTCTTCTCTATCCATTTGTCGTTGTCGTAGTCGTCGTATTCTTTCACGAATTTGGGTCACAATTGACGTCATGGCATCACACACACACACAATGTTTCTAGGTCTCTGAACGAGGTTTACTTCCCTATTTTTTTTTCTTTCTGTTTTAATGTTGCCATTACTACTGAATGTGAATGTTATACATCAAAAAAAAATTTTTTTTTTTTTATTACTCAACAATAAATCGATCATTCTCATCAGCAACATCAATATATAAAGCACTTAGAATTTTGTGAACAAATCATCATCATTATCATCATCGAAATGAAAAAAAACAGATCCAATGTCAAAAAAATGATGATAATAAAAATATATATCATTATCAAGAAAAAAAAGACATAAATAACTTCGATGGACATGAGAAAAAAAGTGTTTGGTAAAAAAAGAGAGAGAGAAAAAATCAATATGATTTAATCAAGAAACGATGAGAGATAATTTATTGGACATGTAAGCAAAAACACACACACACACACATCATAAATTCTTTACGATTTTCGTTTTCTTATTGTTTTTTTTGGGGGATTTATAATGAAAAAAAATGCAATACAGTGAAGCAAACCATTGAAGGGGCCGCCGCCACCAACAACACAACATTTCAATGCATTGATGGAGGGGCAGCAAAAAAAATTTAATTTAAAAATTGAAAAAAAGGAAAAATTTTCGCTGAAAATATGCAATTAAATAAATTGGGAAAATTTAAGCAAAATAAGCAAAAAAAAAAAAAAAACACCACACACCACACACACACAGAGAGAGAGAAGAAAAAATCATAATTTTCTCAACAAAAAACACAGCCTCTTGGGTTTTTCGAACTCAAGGGGTTTATCTTTTATCTTTTGTTCTACGGCCATTATATTTCATATCTTGTTTGTTTGTTTGTTTGTCGCTTGTTTACTTTGTTCTTTACTGCCAAAAAAAAAAGATTTATTTTTTTTCTATCGTCTGCAATCAATTTATGCACATGATGAAATAATCGACACTAGAATTACAATGTCATCATCATCATCAAAAAAAATGTTTTTGATTTTGTCAACAATCAGAAAAAAAACCATTAGCAGATCAACACATACCGTTTTTGAAGCCATATTCACCGTTGTCAAATAAATACGATGTGTTTCCCAACGACGTAAAAATTTTGAACTCAATATTTTCGATACAATTGTACGTTGATGATTCAAACGACAAAGATGAACATCACCTTCATGAATAATCTTGAATTTTGGTCCAATCGGACTGGATGGTGCCGATGTACGATTCGGTGAATTCAATGGTGATTGAAAAATGCCTTCATCCATAGATGTTGCACGTGAGATCAATAAATGTTGTTGTTGATCAAATATCAGACCTTGTATGCGTAAATGTGCAGCATTTTTTACATTATTATTTTTTATCATTAAATTTAAATTATTATTTGAATGATGATGATTAGGATGATTATGATGAATTGTATTGAATGTATTCATCATCATCAATGATTGTTGTTGTTGTTGTTGTTGTTGTTTTTGTTGTTGATGCATGGTTGTCGTGGTTGCTGTGATTATTGATGATGATGATGATGGTTCAATACCACATTCAGATAATGATGGTGATGAAAATGCAGATGGTAATGATGATGAAAATACTGCTGCTGCTGCTGTATTATTACCATTTTGTCGTAATAATTTACAATTATTATTAATAATCAACGATGGTAATTGTGGCCTTTGATGATGATGATGATTAACAATATTCTCTTCCAATGGTGTACCTTCATCCGATTCATATGTTATACGGATATCGGTTTGAGCAAAACTACCCAAACTAGATAAACCAGATGATGATGATGATGATGTTGAATTATTATCATCCGATGATGGTGTTGGTGATTTTGATACCGGTGATAAATCTGATGATGATGATGATGATGATTCAAATGTTGTCGATGATGATGATGATGGTGATGATGGGGCAGCCATTTTGTTTTGATTTTTTTTCTTCTGTTTGATTAACTGATTGATTCAAGCATATATATACAAATTATGATCAACCGGTATGTTGTTATTGTTGCTGTTGTTGTTATTTTTTTTTTACAATATTCAATCAATCAATCAATCGATGAATGAATAAATGATTTGATTAAATATTTCTTGATTGAATATATTCAAAAACATGAAACAAATAAAAAAAATGGCAAATATTTTGTCTATTTAAATCATTCAATCAATCAATGTGCTTCTTTTTTGTTTTTGTTTCATATTTCAAATGAACATTTTTTTTGTTGTTGTTGTTGTCGTGTCGTGTTTTGTGCTCTTTTTTCACGTCTATACTCTCTCTCTCTCTCTCTCTTTTCGTTTTTGATTTACGTGATCGATAATAATTTTCGTTGTCAAATGCAACGACGACAACAAAATGATGATGACACTGGGATGACGTTATGGCCGAATTTTTTTTTTCTTGTTTATGGTCAAATACAATTGACAAAAATTTGAACAAAAAAAACAAAAACTAAAAGGAAACAAATTGGAGAAAAAAAAATTTAGCCACAATTTAAATCATAGTCATTACAAAAAAAAATGAAATTGGTTTTTTTTATCGCATAAATTCAATATACAATTTCAGTCAAACAAATCAGAAACATTGGTTATGTTTTCGATATTGGGTTGAAATAGTCATAGTCATCATCATCATCATTCATGATGAATGTTGATAGAATTTTGTGTGGGTAAATGATCAAATCTGATCAACATTCGGAATAGAAATGAGTTTATCGTGTTTATATGATTCCACCATTCACAATCATTCAACAACGACAAACGAAAATCCTATTTGAATGATTCAATAAAAAAACAAAACAAACGAAACAAAAAAAAAAACGTAGTAGCATGTAATTTTGATTGATCCATTTTCATGATATTGGGTTCCCATAATTCTATATATTCAATCCAGATCTATATAAATATCCTGTGTCTGTGTGTGTACATGTGTTTGGTACATTTCACAATGTGAAGAATAAAAAGTGGTGGTCGTCGTCGTCGTCTTCGTCGTGGTGGGTGCAAATGAAGACCAAAAAAAAAAAAAAAAAAAAAAACTAACGCGCCAAGAATATCAAAGATTCAAATGTTGAAAAGAAAAAAAAACTAAAGAAACTTTGTCGATTCTGTTCATTATAAACTTTAAATTTTTTTTTTTTTTGAACAATTAATGATAATTTAATGATGATGATGATGATGGTTGTTGTTGCTGTTGTTTTGTTGTTCAAATACGATTGACGTAATAACTTTGATTTTCGCTATTCGATGATGATGATGATGATGATGATGGTCGATCAATCAATCAAACATTAATCAATCAAAATGTAGCATTCATTCTTTCTCGATCTGTTTTGAAAACAAATTACAGAAAAAAAGAAGAACACACAAGTAGAAATTTTGTTTCGTTTTTCAGATTAATTTATATCAGAATATTTTTTTTCTGATTTTTTTTGAAAATTTACTTAAATAATTAGGAAAACAAATTAAAAGAAAAAAATTCAAAAAAAAATGTAAATCAAAATCAATCAATTTTGATAATCAACGAGAACATGTCGATTGATGTAATGTTGATTGATCATCATGATTGGAGCCATACACAATTCACTGGTGATGTTGGTGATGATCATAAACCAGAGAAAACAAAAAATTGCCATCTAGAAATATTTACAAATTGTAATACCTTTATACGCGTGTGTGTGTGTGTGTGTGTGTTTAAAATGTATATACACTCAATGGATACATGCACACACCACCAATAATCATAAAATCGGTAATTTGGATTTTCATTTGTTTTGTTTTTCAATCTCTCTCTCAAACACATACCATACCAATAGTCATAGTGGTACATTGACGTTGTTGATAATGTTGGTCGTATGATTTTTTTGTTGTTGTTGTTGTTTTGTTTCCTATAGAACAGAAACAAATAACAAAAACTACCTGGTTGTTCTAAACGATCATCATCATCATCATCATCATTGATGTATTTTACGTCGATGCTACCTGTCAATGATGATGATGATGATTTTTTTTATCTTTGAATAAATAAGGCCTGCCCTAACGATGCAATAATGCACACTTGCACACAACGATAGTCGTCACATACACAACGTGTAATTTGACATTTTTTTTTCTATCTCTCATTTTCATTGACAAAAAAAATAAAAAATAAAAAACAGTAGTTGACAACAAAACAAAAGGACCAAAAGTATATATTTCTTTTTCTGTTGTAATTACAATTGAAATATTTTTACATATCGATGAATCAAACAATCATGATGATGATGATGATGATGACAAAGAAAAAAAATTTTTTTTCTTTGTTTTGTCAAAATGTCAAAATTGATTTTTTTTTTTAGATTTGAGATATCACAAACGGATCTAGAATTGTTTGTGTTTATCAATCGATCAATCGGATTGATCCTTTTATTAAAATGATTGATTGATTGATACTTAATAAAAAAAAATAAAATAAATAACTCTTTTCATTCTTATCAATTTTTTTTTTCATTAATTTTTCATTGCATTCTCGATGTTATTCAATAATGCAAATCAAATGGCCACTTTGCTTCCATTTTTTTATTGATTGTGAATGACCACCATTCAATATCGAATGCCAAAATTTGATAAAAAAAACCAAGTATCATCATCACTAAACATCATCATCATCATCATCTAATTCACTTCATTTCAATGTGTGAATGATAAATACATAAACTTTCAGAGAAAAAAAAATAACAATAACATTTTCTATAAACAAACCAACAAAAGAAAAAATGATGATGATGAAAAGATGATTTTTCTCACGACAATGACGTCAGAGCAGCAGCAGCAACAACAACAACAACAACAAAATTCAATGATGATTCAAACAAAACAACGACCATGATATGTTGAACATTTTTTTTTCACGTCAATATAAATATATTGATGATAAATTTTCAATGATGATGACTATGACGACGATGATCTTTGAAGGCTATAGCTATTTTTTTTTTCTGGTGATTTCTACTGATAGGTTAAAGTTGTTTTTCTCTAACTAACTCTTCAATGTGTGGATAAAATTCAAGGAAGTCATTTCACAAAATGAAAATTTTCGTATAAATAAATTGAAACGATTTATCGACGATAATGACGTGACAACACAACCACCAGGATCACCATCACCATCACCACCACCACCACCACCCACAGTATAAAAAAAATATGACTGATGCTGGTGGTGGTTACCAGAAAAATTTATAGTATAAATAAACATGACTGGGATGAAAAATAAATGATCACTTCTACTTGTTCGAAATTCTTTGTGTTTGAATTTTAAAATTTTTTTTTCTCTCTTTCAGTTTATATTTTATTTTTATTTTTATTTATACAGAAATCAATCAGAATTCATGAGAAAAGGCAACAAAAAAAAGTTTACGTCAAATTTTCATTTTCCTTTGTATGATCGATCCATCAGTTAGTTGGTTATGAAAGAATGATGAATAAGAAATAAACGTTGGCCATCATCAGCTGATTGTTTATTGGTTGTTAATCACAATTGTATATATTCATCCTTTCAATTTCAATCAATATTATCATCATCATCATCATCAGGATCATCGATAGCAGTCTTCCTTCGATCATACTATTTAGAAAAAAAGAAATTTAGATGATGAAAAAAATGGAAAACCTTCCACTACACTTACTGTAACGACAGTTTTCTTTTTCGATGTCTGTTCATTAACTTGTTCGAGAAAATTTATCAATTGTTCTTCTGAAAGCTATTGTTTTTGAATATTAACAAAAAAAGATTATTATTGGATAAAATTTTCAGATCATCATTATTATTACCTTTTCACGAATGGCACCACGTTGAGCATTGGTGATTAGAATATTTTCAAGCATTTTAGCACGATCAGGTTTAGCCAATGCAATGGTACTCACTTTTGTTTGTTTTGATGGAAAAAAACAATTTTTCACATTTCATAATCATCAATAGATATACTTACATCGTGCTCTAGCTTCTTGTGATAAAATTTGTGTTAAAATCGTATTTCTCAATTCTTCTTCACGTTCTTGTCGTTCTTGTGTGGCACGTTGTTGTTCTTGCTATATTGATATTGGACATGGACATAATTTTGTCATTGAAAACGAAAAAAATCCATCCACTTACCATATTCATTTGTCCTGGACCACTCATTCCTGATCCTTTACCTTGATATTGCATTTGCAATTCTTGTAAACGTCTAGCACGAATAGCTTCTAATTCTGGATCGGCCATTTTGAATAATTTTTATTCTTGCAAGATTGATGAATGGAAAAGATTTTTTTTTTAATTGAAAAACAAAACAAAAATTCAATTATGACCACCGATGTAAAAGAACGATAAACAAATCACTCACATGTTTGTGTGTGTATCAAATAAATATTCGAAAAACTGTCCATAGAGGACGTTGTTTTTTAAAAATGAAAATAAAAAATTCGAAAACTTTTTCAACCAATGATATCATCATCATTATCAAAGCTGATAAAGGACAAATGTTTATTTTTTTTTTGAAACAAAACCTGATATGATGGATTTTGATTGATAAGCACATGTGGTCCACATATATCTTTTTTTTCTTGCAGATATATAGACATGTTTTCAGAACATTTATTATCAAGAAAAATACAAATGAAATTGATTGACATGGCCAATGTTTATTAGTCATTGAAAATAATATTCATATCAAGATGAGTTCATCAAATTCATTCAATGATCGTCGACAATTGAATAGATATTATAATGCCAAACAAATTGATTCATCATCTGAATTGATCATAGAAATTCAACTTGGTTTAATGCATCTAATTCGATTGATCATTTCCATCATTCATTCATCAATAAGACGTATCATTCGAAGATTTACTCGCAAACTAAATGAATTATATATGAATTCTGCATTGAATATTTTAGTTTTTAAACTGAAAACTTGTAAGTTTCATCATCATTTATGACCAATACTTAATGATTAATTTGAAAAAAAAAAATACATTACATCACAAGATTCATTGATTAAACAAAGTCGTCAAAATGGATTAATGGAATGGCTACAACAACAACTACCATTGGCACCGTTTAAGCCGAATAATTTCAATACAGATTGGCGTGATGGAATACGTTTATGTGCTCTTTGTGAACAAATCATATCTGGATGTTGTCCACGTTATGATCTCCTTAATCCTAATAATTATGTCAATAATCTCAAATTGGCATTATGTCTGATACGAAACAATTTGAACATACAAACGGTACATTTATTGCATTAGTTGTCGTTATATAATTGTATTTATTTTCATCCAATTTCATCATATATATAGGATTTGAATGTAAAAGAAATCTATGAATGTAAAAATGATGCTAAATTAATACATCTATTGTTTCGAATGAAAATGGTACATACGAAAGCAATGCTCAAATCGAATGATATCCGTACGAAACAATCAAAACGATGGGAAAATCAAAAAATATCCAAGGCCAAATATCTTGAATCATATGATCAATTTTTCAACAATTGTAAAATTAAAGGAATGGGCATAACATTAGGTGTTCGTAGTCGACGTTCAAGATTTAGCATCTATTTTGCATCATCATATCCATTGGATCAATGTTCATTTATCATCGAAATTCTAGGTCCAATTGGATCATTTTGTTCGGAAAAAATTGAAATCAATAATTGTAGTAGACGATTACAGAATAGTTTAAATGTAATTGGACAATATTTCTGTCATGATGAAATGATACAGAATCTTACGATGAAGGCGGCGATGAAAATTAAATTCCATAGAATGAATTTGAAAATACCATTCTTTTGTGAATTAATGGATGATCATATTCTGATCACTTATATACCACTTTATGCCGGTGAACATCAAATCAGCGTCATTTGGCAAGGACAACATATTTTCGGATCACCATATTATGCTATGATCGAAGAAACAGAATATCTTCAACAAGAATCCAATGAAATTGGACCAAAATTTATTCCTGGCATTCAATATCCATTATGTTTACTCCAGACAGATCAAGAATATGGATTAGATGAAATTGGAACAGTAATAAGAAAGAAAACATTACGAAAATCAATGATAATCAAAGGAAAAAAATATGATTATTACACATATTTGGAACGATTACAAAAATCACGACAATTCGAATGTTCAATTACAAATGTTAATGATAATTCATTAAAAAATGTGAAAATTTCCATCAAACATAACAAACAATCAATGTCAATTTCGGATAGTTCACGAACATCATCATTTTATTCCGGTGAATCAGAATGTTGTTGTTCACCTGAACCAATAAAACATGAATCATTACCTGAAGATCCAATGGGCAATGAAAATGAAATTATTAAGAATGAGCAATCGGAAATTGCAACAGCAGAAAAATCCAACAGAATTAGATCAAAATTTTTTCAACTAAGAAAATTACGATCACATAAATCATCATTGAATGAAAATTCCTTAAATAATGAATTCAATGTGATGGCTAAAAAATTAAAAGGAAAATTAAGATTTCATAAAAAAACTTGAAAATGAAATGAAACGGAAAACTTTTTAAAAATTAAAGTTTTTTAAAAGAAAATTTTTCGTCACTTTGTTTATGAATGTGTTATGTTTTGGATAACAAAAAAAAAATCTGCGTGACACAGCAGTTCGAATATTAATTGATTGTTGTTGTGCTGTGTGTTTGTTTGTGACAGCAATATTAATTCATTGTTTTGATTGTAATAATTTTTTGAATGATTTATCTTACCTTAAAATGTCTCAAAAAGTTTCAAATTTCCTTACCAAACAACAACAATCATCGAATGCATCATATTGGGTGACATTTGATGAATTGTATAATAAAAAACTATGGCATCAATTGACAATCAAATTGTTGGAATTTATTCATAAAGAACAACCTAGGAATTTGGTTGAAATCTATGAGAATTTCATATCGGATTTTGAGACTCGAATCAAATGTTTATCATTGGTTGAGATTGCCGTGTTTATCGTGAAGGAAATATCTAATCATGAAGAGAAGCTACAATTTCTTGAAAAGATTAAAGGTAAGATTTTTTTATGCTTTTTTGATCTTTCTATAATGAAACTTCTTTTTCAAATAGAAAAAGTCAAAAATGATTCATTGGCAGTCATTTTATGTGAAATTTTGAGCGGCCAAATCAAGCTCGAAGTGAATGATTTCAAGGGAGCCAAAGAAATCATTGAAAATATCGATCAAAAAATCGACAATGAATATGGTATCACTACGGTGCATGCACGTTTCTTTCAATTAGCCTCTGATTATTATCAAAAAATTGGCGATCACGCTGAATATTATCGTAATGCACTTCGTTACCTTGGATGTTGTAGTACGGCTGGCATTGAAATTCAAGAGAATGATGAAATTTTAGCTCAACGGGCTTTTACCTTGTCGTTGGCTGCCATACTTGGTCAAGATATCTTTAATTTCGGTGAACTATTGCTTCATCCAATTCTTAAAAAATTGAAACCTGAACACGAATATATGCGAGAATTATTGTTCGCATTCAATTCGGGTAATATGGCCAAATTTAATGAATTGAAACCAAAATGGCAAACTCAGCCAGATCTTGTTGTACATGAAACCGAAATGCGTAAAAAGATTTGTCTTTTATGTTTGATGGAGATGGCTTTTGCATCGCCAAATGCAGTATTGTCATTCGAAAAAATTGCCACCGCAACCGATTGTCTGAAAAATGATGTCGAACTTATGGTAATGAAAGCATTGTCCAAAGGTCTAATAAAAGGTCATATTGATGAAGTTGAACAAAAAGTGACCATCAGCTGGGTACAGCCACGAGTACTCAACAAAGATCAGATTAGATCAATGCGTGATCGATTAGATAAATGGATCAAAGACATTAATGATTTCTCACGTGTTTTAGAGAATAAAGCACAGGATATTATGGCCTGAATTTAGTTTTTTATCATTGGCCATTACAGATTGTAATATCTCTTTTTTCAAATTTTCAAAAAAAATTATATTTTACAATAAAAATGTACAATTAAAATAAATTTTTTTCGAAATTTTTTAATCATAAAAATTCAAATGTGCTGAACACCATTTGGAGATTAAAATTGATAAGTAGATGTTGTGCTTGATAGACCATTATATACAAATGTATTATCGATAGGTATATATTGGCCGGTAATTATTTTAATAACTTCTTGTGCAGCGCAACCACCAATAAATGCACTGATTGAATGTAATTCGCATCCACCATATCGACAACTAATATTAATGAAAATTAATTTATAATTATTATTATCATCATCATAATCATCGGGATAATTATATTAATATTAATATTTACATTTCATGAACGAGATCATCTTTGATCACAATATTACAGCCAGCTTCAAGACAAAATTCTTTAAATTCTCGCTATTTTTTATATAAATAAAAAAAATTATTATTTTATTATATGACAAATGTAAAGATTAATAAATACCTTTAATTCAGAAATATCAACTTCATCACTATTCTGACCAGGAAATCTACGATGTTTCGAATAGAATCGATCAATCAGACGCATTAGTATGTAGAAACGTAATTCATCTGAATCGGATTCTTCTTCATCATTTTGTAGACGAAATGTTACTAGATTACGCATCGTTTTACTTTGCATCTCTTGATATATTGGACTGGTTCGTATGATTCGTAAATATCGAACATTTTTACAAAACAAATGAATATCCGAATCCGGAATCGTGGAACATTTGAATGTATCTTGAATAATTTTCGATAAACATTGTGCATCTTCTTTGGCTTTTGTTTTATATAATTTCTGTAAACGAATATATTGTTCTGAACCAGAATTCATATCCGGTATACTACCTTTCAATGGAAGACAATCATGACGAGCGATAAATTCATTCAAAGCTTTCATCATGATCCAGAAATTAAAATTTGATGATTTTTGTTTCAACATTGTCATATCTAATAGTTTTGATTCATTCAAAAGTTGTTGTAGATCTTTCGATATTTTTGGTGAATCATAAAATATTTTATTGACCAATTTGTATGCTTCTTCAAAGTTTTCTAATTCCATTCGTGCACCACCGGATTCATCGGTGAATGATTGATAAGCTTTACTTTCTTGTAGTGTGAACATTTCATCTTTGATCATGGCTATTAATGAAGATTTTTCACGATAATTTTTTGGAATTTCATTCGAATTTTTTTGATATTCTTTTCGCCATTTAAGAAGATTTTTGTAAATTATAACTAATGAAGGTATTCGACTTAATTCTTGTCGTGTTAATTCTTCGAAAGAAGGAAATGAATCAAAATATGCACTAAGCTCGGGAAATAATTCGGTTAATCGAAGATCTTCAAGTGTATTATCAGGATGAGGTTCGAGAACACAATGTTCTTGTATTTGTAGACGAATATAGCCCAAAAATCCAATCGATTTGACTACCAACAATGGTATGTTCAATGACCACATTTCTTGACTTAATCGATTCAATGATCGTTCATCTCGGATACCACAGGCAATGATCAAACTAAAGTTGGTAAAATAATTTACATCTTTGTCCAATAATGTTTCGAAATTTTCATGTAGATAATCGCCATTTTTAACATCTTCATTCATTTCAAGAAGAAATGTTGCAGCAACTTTAGCTCTTGATTGTCCAATCGATCCTTCAGTAGAAAGAAAGAAATTACTATCGGCATCATCTTCACTAACTGTTTGATCATCGATGATTGTAAATGCACGAATACCGGGCAACACAAGATTCTTTAACACTTCAGTACCAACAACATTAGCATTTATTAAACAAACACGTGATGTTTCCAATGCTTGTTGGCCATTTTCACCCCACAATCTGCAAAAAAAAATTTAATCACAATCCAATAAAAACATAAATGCAATTTTCAATTAAATTTACCGTATCTGACGATCATAACGTTTACTTTTTTCATTTTCCGGAGACTTTGGACTTGGCGTATGAATTGAAGTCATTGAAAGAAGAAAAAAATTTGTATTTATTCAAGATAAAATTAAATGTTGTTGATTGATTATACAAAAATCGAAAAAATTCTGACACACAAAACAAACATGAAAACAAAACAAAACAAAAAAAAAAATATTGATCGATTGAGTGCCATACGTAGATGGCATTACGTGATTTATATATTAAAAAATATGATTTTTTTTCGACAAAAAGTAAATTTAAATTTAAATACATCATATCGATTTTTAAAATTTTAATTATAAATTATCATTTAAATATTTTTTGATAATTTGATTTCCGATACAGACATTTGTGGTATTGTTTTCAACAATTCTTCTATACCTTTTTCAATTGAAATGGTTGAACGAAAACCAAGACGTTTGATTTTTTCATATGAAACTTCATAATCTCTTTTATCTTTATCCTGGCCGGTTAACGAAGCACGAATTGAACATGGAAATGGCATCTGTTCGATGATTTTTTGTGCAGCCATTTTTTTCGTCATATTCATCGATTCATCACCAACATTGAATATTTGTCCTTTCATTTTTTGATAATGAGATATTGTAAAACAAAATGAACGTGCAGCATCACGAACATGAAGAAATGTACGACGAAAATTTGCTTCATACAATTCAATTTCACGTTCATTCAATAGTGTTTGTGTAATATGATTGATTAATAAATCTAAACGCATTCGTTGTGAAACACCAAACAATGTAGCCAATCGTAGACAAACACCATGTTTCGATAGGATCATATCTTCTGATTTGGATTTAGTTTGACCATATAAAGTTAATGGACAGATTGGTGTTTCTTCTGTACATAATCCTTCGATAGCACCATAACAAGATCCGGTTGAAGCAAAAATTAATTTTTGATTCGATTGAATCAATTCGACAATGTTTGCTGTTCCAATTTCATTCACCTGGATGGCCAATTCTGGATTTTCATCACAAGCTGGATAACCAACGATTGCAGCCAAATGAATGACAGTGGTAATATCATCGGTTAGTACGGAACGTAATTGATCTTTATTGCAAATGTTGCCTTTAATAATTGTTAGATTTGGATCAGAAATAACCGCTAATAATGGTGAAATACCATAGACGAATTGATCAAATACGGTAACCAAATAGCCATGTTGTAAAAGTTGTGGAACCAATGATGATCCAATGTAACCAGCACCACCAGTAACGAGAACATGTTCATTCGTTACAAATGAAATCAATCGATCATTTGTACATTCAGGCATCACCAAATTCAATTTGAAAATATCAATATATATGAATATAGATCTGCACTTTCTTCAATACTTGATGTCCGAACCAAACGCCTGTAGCAACCAATTCTAAATTGATAATCAAAAAAAAAATTGTATTTTATATGTGGCGCCAACCTAAACTACAACACACACACACACACACACACATATACACTCACAATGCCCTCGAGGGCACTAACTTACCAAAATGTAAAGAGACTCGTGTTCACATCGTGCCTCGAATATAAAAAAAAAAAATCAATACAATCACTCAACCATACACACACACACACACACACATTAAAACAAATGGCGCCTAATAAATTACCCTAATAAGTGAAGTGATATGTGAATAAAGAATGAAATGAATGAATGATGGAATGTGTGTGTGTGTGTACTTTATCTAGTTTCTTATCATCAAGACATTTTTAAATATTACTTGAATTTTATTATTATCAAGGACAAATATAGCCATAATAATAAAATAAGAAAAAATCAAAATTCAAGTATTGCAATTATTTACTCTTTAGGGTAAATGATAAACTTAAAAAAAAAAAAAAAAAATTTCAATTCCATAAATCATTTATATATCGTAATCGTCATGGTTTTTTTGAATAACCACTGTCGATGCTGTTTTTTTAAACAGGTTCAAACTGGCTCTTGATTTGATTTTTTGGGGAACATTGGTGAAAGGAAGGAGATGTGTGTGTGGGGAAAAAATTTCATCTTCAGTCATCATCATCATCAATAGAGAGTATTTTTTATTTATTTATCCAGTTTTTTTGTTTCTTTTGCATAGAATTTTTACGTCATTAATTGTGATAAAAATTTTTTTTTTTGAAAAAAAATTAATAACGGTAATGTTCAGGTTTAAATGGACCATTTTTGTTGATACCCAAATAATTGGCCTGGTCATCAGTCAATTTTGTTAGTTTAACACCCAAATGTGGTAAATGTAAAGCGGCAACTTCTTCATCCAAAATTTTTGGCAATGTATATATGCCTTGATCATATTTTTTGTTAAACAATTCTATTTGTGCCAAAACTTGATTAGTAAATGAATTACTCATAACAAAACTTGGATGTCCAGTAGCACAACCAAGATTGACTAAACGTCCTGCAGCCAATAATATGATATGACGACCATTCGATAATTTATATCGATCTACTTGTGGTTTTATATTGACCTTTTCAATGGCATTATCATCCAACCATTTGACATCGATTTCACAATCAAAATGACCAATATTACAAACAATAGAATTATCTTTCATGTTCATAAAATGTTCACCACGAATAATATCTTTACAGCCAGTAGTGGTAACAAAAATCGAAGCTCTTGATAATGTTTCTTCCAATACAGTTACTTCATAGCCTTCCATAGCAGCTTGCAATGCATTGATTGGATCAATTTCAGTAATGATAACTTTGCAACCAAATCCAAGTAAACTTCGTGCCGATCCTTTACCAACATCACCAAAACCAGCAACAACGGCAACTTTACCAGCCAACATAATATCGGTAGCACGTTTTATACCATCTACCAATGATTCTCGACAGCCATAAAGATTATCGAATTTAGATTTCGTAACGGAATCATTGACATTGAATGAGGGAACTTTGAGATCACCATTCTTCATCATTCGATATAGATTATGAACACCTGTAGTTGTTTCTTCAGAAATGCCACGAATACCAGGCAAAAGTTCGGGATACTTTTGATGAACAAGAGCTATTAGAAATGATAAAAAATGAATGAAAAATCGAACCGAATGATTCCATTATCATTATATTACCGGTTAAATCTCCACCATCATCGAGTATCATATTCAAAGGTTTTCCATCGGGAAAAATCAAAGTTTGTTCAATACACCAAACATATTCGGCATCGGTTTCACCTTTCCAAGCGTAAACGGGAATACCACGAGCAGCAATAGCAGCAGCAGCATGATCTTGAGTAGAATAAATATTACAACTGCTCCATTGAACTTCGGCACCCAATTCCATTAATGTTTCAATCAAAACTGCAGTCTGAATGGTCATATGAAGACAGCCAGCAATACGAGCACCTTTCAATGGTTTTGTTGAACCATATTTTTCACGTAATGCCATCAAACCGGGCATTTCATATTCGGCCAACATAATCTCTTTACGACCAAAATCGGCTAATTTAATATCAGCTAAATGAATTTCATCAACAAAAAAAACGATGATTAAAATCAATGATCAATAATTTGCTTTTTTCTGAAAAAACCTACCAATTTTATATTTTGGTTTTTGTTCAGTTGGTTTCAATTTTTCAGGAACATTAACACTTTGGATTGTGGTTGCCATTTTGTAATATAAAAAAAATTTTTTCAATGAAAATTTTATTCGAATAATGAAAAAAAAATTAAAACTGCAGATTCAATAAACAACGATGAAGACGAAGAAAAAATGATGCCAAAAAATGGGATTCTAATTGATTTTTATACAATGTGTGTGTGTGCCGTACACATTTTCGGGAACAAAATAATCATGGTAGCGGCGCTACAAACATGCTTTTTTTTGTTTTTTTATCGCGCAAGCGTATATCGAATATTTAAAATAAAAACTTGTAAGCCAAATCATCGATCATCGTATGATCATCAATATATTTGATTGATTAAATCAATGTGGTTCGATTTTTTTTTATTTCAAAAAATTGATTATCATTCATTTTTTTTTTGATTGCATAAAAATTGCATTGGTAAAAGAAAAACATAGGAAAGACATTTATTCATTATTGATTTATATATTATCATTTTGATAATAAGCCAAAATAATCATCAAACTCTTTGTTTGTAATCTTACTTTTTTTCAATTTTTTCACCATTCTAGCATCTGAATTTAGTTCTTCAACATCTAATTCATCGAAAATTATCTTTTTCGTACGTCCTTTCATCGTTTTATTACGGTGAACTTTCCGGATTGTTTCTGCAATTTGTGGATTACGTTTGAAACCAAGACGTTTTTTGGCATTAGTTTCAGTTTTCGACATTGGACCCAAACCATTATTTTTGATTTTTTTATCATACAAGATTTGTTTAAATTTTCCAACAATTTTAGCATCTTCATCACTACCTTTGAATTGAGTGGAACATTTTTTCGCTTGTCGTAATTCAGGCATTTTAGGCATCGTTAACAATCCATAACCATTGGCAATATCAATGACATCACAATCTTTAAATAACCATTTAGCCATTATATGTTTAGTTGAATAAGTTCGTATAAAACTAACAAATGCTTCTGTTGACATTTGATAAAAATTTATGTTTCGTTTTGATTCGGATCGAATCCATTTAAATAATGATTCTTTCAATTGTTGTAAATCAGATTTTAATTCATTTTGATCATCATATTGTTGTATATCGATACCTCTGGTTTTACAATGATCAATGAATGGAATTTCATGACTAAGACAGAATAATAATGAATTACCATAGGTATTGATCTGATGTGCTGAACGGCCACAACGATGAACATAATTTTCAATGGTCAATGGAAGATCAAAATGAATGACCCAATCAACTTGTGGTATGTCGACACCACGACTAACAACATCGGTACAAAGTAACAGTGAATGACTTGTTTCACGAAATTGATCATAGATTTTCTGTCTTTTATTCTTGAGTTTTCGATGTAATTTGAGCAATAGAATTTTGTTATTACCACTAAGATGACGATTTAGAATACGTTCAAAATAATTTACTTGTGCACATGATGATATGAAAACGAGAAATTTTTCCATTGGATGTTGTCGAATAAAATCAATAAGAAATGGTAATTTATCTTCGGCTGATTCGAAAATCATATACTTATTCATCAATCTATTGGGCATTTGTAATTGATTTGGTTTTAATTTTTTCAAATTCTTTTCTTTGATTTCCACTTTCATCGGATTTCTAAGACCAACACGAATTAATTGATTCAATTCTTTGGTTTGTGTTGCCGAAAATAGTGATGTTCGCCGTAATTTTGGTAGATATTCAATTATATCGTTTAAAGTTTTTTCAAAACCTAAATTCAATAATTGATCAGCTTCGTCCAAAACAAATACTTCAAGACATTGACGAATTTTCGATGAAAAAATGGCCGATTTTTCCAATATATCCAACAATCTGCCGGGTGTTGAAACAATTATATTAGCACCATTGTTACCATAGTTTCGAATATCTTTATCCGTATTACTACCACCAATCAACAACATAAGTTTAAAATCAAATTCTTCGGAATGATCGATGAATATTTTGAATACGTTGTAGATCTGTGTGGCTAATTCTCGTGTTGGACTGATGACAACAGCACCGATATCATGTTTTTTAATCGTTTCTGTTTGTGATTTACGTAAAAGTATCTGTAAAATTGGAACGACAAAAGCCAAAGTTTTTCCACTGCCAGTAACAGCTTCGACGATTAAATCTTTGTTTGTTATGAACAACGGTATTGATGCCGCCTGTACCGGTGTCATGGTTTCGAATTTAAATTCATTTTTAATAATTTTCTTTAGTTCGGCATCAATATTCAAAGAATCCCAAGATGAATCCATGTTGAAAACAATAAACAAAACAAATGATGATTGGAACAAATATTGAAAAAGTCCTCACATGGTTTCCATTTTAACCATACAGTGTTATTGATTGAATCGAAATAGTTGTTTTGATTGATCACATGTTAAATTCATTTATTTGATTTTTTTAAAGTTTTCACATTATCCATGGCCGAGATATTGAAAGAAAAAGAAGAAATTAAAGAATTCCTAAAAAATCTAGGAATCGAATATCGATTCAGTTGTTATTCGGAAAAAAATCCACAAGGATGTCAACTATTAGCTGATTATTTATCTCAAGTGGATAATGATGATGAAAAAGCGAACAAAGTTCTCAAAGAAAATTGTGATGAACGTAATTATGGCCGAAGTTGTTCAACTTATGGAATGAATCTGTTGAATGGTCGCGGTAAGTGTTATGCCATCAAATTCGAAATCTAAACATTGAAAAAAAAATTTTTTTTTTTTTTGTGTCAGGATTTCCAAAAAGACATCGTGATCATTCAGCAGCATTAAAATATTTCATCAAAGCCTGTGAATTGAACGATGCAACTGGATGTGATTTTGCTGGAAAAATTCTAGCCGGTTTTGAACCATCAATACGAAAACATATTTCACCTGAACATGAAAAAGGTTTACGTTATTTGGAACGTGGCTGTAATATGGAATCAACAGCACAATTATTCGAATCAATTGAAAGTTGTCATGCAGCAGCTTTTATGTATGCATCCGGTGTCAAAGATGTATTTGCACGTGATGATGAAAAAGCAATCGAATATGGAACAAAAGCATGTAATTCAGGAAATATGAATAGCTGTAAATTATTATCAATTGTTTATAAACGTATGAATAATGAAGAAATGTCGGAAAAATTTATGGCCCATTATGAACGTTTGAAGAAACAAATTTCTGATAATGTTGGTATTGAAATGCAACGTTCATGATGATGAACGCGTTTTAGTTTTGTTTGTTAAAATTATTTCATAGCATATAAATAGTATCTAATTTAAATATTTCTTTGAAATTTAAATAATAAAACATCATTTTATTTACATGAAAAAAAACTGGACAACAACAATTTTCTATGTACACATTGTTTATTTAAAAATACAACAATAATAGTAAAAAATGAAAATAAAAAGTCAATTGTGTTGACATATTATGTATGAGTTTCATCGATAAAACTTTTATTATCGATTCCTTCATTATTACCATTGCCATTATTGAATTCTTTCAATATATTTGGTGTAGCCGTTGCTAGTGTTCCAGAATTTCGTAAACTTTTTGGTGCCGGTCGATTATTATTCGGATTGGATGCCAATGATGAATTGCCATTTACAATTGGTGATTGTTGTGATGCTGCCTGTTTATTATTATTATTTTGATTATGATGATGATGGTCAGTAATGATGGATGAATTTGGTGAATATGAATTCAATTGAAAATGGCTTGCAATCGTTTTATCTACATATTGTTTCATAGCTTCAGCTTTTGCATTCAATTTTGATGATGATGATGATGATGATGATGACCAATTGTCATTCAAACCACCATTCAATCGACCATTCAATGTTGATGAACCATTATATTTCATTGTATTCGTTGGTGACATTACAGCTGTCAGTTTATCTTTTTCCGTTTGATTTTTTGTCATCATCATTGTTGGGCGATGTTTTTTATGTGGCATTGCATAATAAAGTTTTTCCCAGAACCATTTTTCACCCCATACTAGATAGGTTTTTGTTGTTAGTAAAAAATTGAGATCTTTATCCAGCTCTTCTTTGGGTGGTAGATTACCACGTACTATAACAATTAAACGATCCATTTTATCTTCTAACATTTGATAATAGGCAGTATGAAATTCAACTTGAAACCAAATGGATCGAATAAAACTTTCCGATAATATTAGAATTGTGCGTTTTGAATTTTGAACACTGTTTACAATATTCCAACTTATAAGATTTCCTGGTAACCAATCACGTTCGTGTATACAAAGTCTATAGGTATTATTATTTTCACCATTACCCATTTCCACATCCATCGTTGATTTAGTCGTTGATTTTAATGTGGCTGATTTTTTAAATACATTCTCCGGTACAACTTGATCCGCTTTACCTTCATGAATAGACAGTCCATTCTGTAGAATCAGACTAACTTCATTCATATCATGTGGTTTTTCCAGTTTTTCAATCAATTCCATCACCACATCTCGATCTGAACTTGAATATGATACGAATGCATCGTAAATTTTTTCCTCATCCAAATCATCTTCAGTGAAATTCAAACAGATAAATATTGGATTCAGATGAATGTAAATGAATGCCAATATTGTTTGTTTGTTACGATAATAGAGAACAGAAACGACAAATAATGATGATGCCAGTACCACACAGATGATTGATAATGCCATCAATGTTGTATTGCTTGTTGGTGGTATCAAAACCGGACAAAGATGTTCATCACTCATATTGACAATGACCAAACTAGATGAATTTGTTTCGATTGTTTCACGATCACATCGGATCATATTGACATCGCCAATCAAACTGGGATGACTTGAAAGCCATTGTTTAAAATCACGTATATAACATTCACTACCCGGTGGTAATGGTTCATTATAACAATCAATAGGATTATTTCCTAAAAACAAACGTGGTTTTATCGTACGTGGTAATTTTCGTGTATGATTAGTTTGGACAAGTTTTTCGAAATTCTCCATCACTGTCAACGGTATTCGTTGTATATTATTGTTTTGCAAGGATAATTTTTTCACTAAAACCATCGAATCAATTGTATTGTTTGTCAATGGATCCCATGATAATCTGCTTATATTATTCTTGTCCAATAAAATTTCCACATATAATGGTTTATTATTATCGTTTCCAGATTCATTCCACATGATCATTGTATCCAAATTATCAATGGATTGAATATGATTATCACGAAGTTGAAATATAACACCTTGTACAGATGTAGCGATACCCGAATCTTTTAATGATATATTATAATGTTTAGATAGATTTATTTCTGCTGGAATGTCATAAATATCACGATTATCACAGTTAATAATAGCTGAACGATCTGAGCTTCGATATTTACATTCACATTGTTTGGGACAAATACGTTCATCATCAATCGGGCAGATTAATTCACTTAATTTAAGATTATCCAATGGACGATTGATTAAATTTTCTGGACTATGACAAGTAATTTTTGGATTTGCATCAATCATGAACAAAATTTTTCTATTGATCGTATCGAAATGTTTACCATAGAGACGGCCAACAGATTTTGTGTAGTTCAGAAATGGAAATAGATGACAATCACAATCAAGTGGATTATTATCTAATCGAACTAAAGTTTCTTTCGTAATCGAAGCTTGTGATCGATCATTGATTGGTATTGTAGATAAAATTTCCTGCACATTTACTGATTCAAATTGATTATTACTGACGTCTAGCTGAAATTGTGATTCCAATGATGCCATTTGATTTGGAACCCATAATGTACCGGTGAAATTATTATTGCGTAAATTTATTTCGGCAATATGAAGATAAAAATTCCAATTCATTTGTCGTATATCGGCATCAAAATCAAATAGCTGATTATATGATAGATCAATTTTTCGTAAATAACCACCAAGACCAAATGGCAATGCATTGGCTGCAATTGTATTGGTCGTAGTGATAAAATTATGACTTAAATCTAGCTGTTCAAGTTCACGTAATACCATGAACGTCATCGGTGATATCTGTCGCAATCGATTGGATGATACGGATAGTTTACGGATTTTACGTGCTTCAATAAATAAATTTTCTGGCAATTCTGACAATAGATTTTTGTTCAAATTTAATTCAATGATTTCGGTTGAATTTAGTGTAAAAATATCGGCACTAATAATTTCAATTTGATTGGATGAGAAATCTACTTTTGACAATTTAGCGTTCCATGCGAATAAACCATTCAATGTAAGATTTTTCAATTGATTTCTTTTCACATTTAGTGAAAGCAAATTGGGAATATTACGAAAAAATTGCCGTGTATCAACACTGATTGATGTTAGATTACAATGTGCAAGCGATAAATTCGATAAACTTGTCAATCCATGAAATAGTTGGGCAGGCAATGGTTCCAGTTGATTATTTTGACTGATATCTAAAGAAATGAGCTTTTTGTTCGCTTGAAATAGATATTCACTTAGATTTTGAAATTGATTACGATACATTGTCAAGAATTGTAGATTTTTCAACGGTTTGAATGTATAATCATTCAGGTGTATCAGATGATTATGTGAAATATCTAAAATTTCCAAATGTGATATATTGGTGAATGCATCGGCATCAATGTGTTTGATAGAATTATGTGACAGGTAAAGTTTTTTCAATGTTGAGCCAGCAAATGCAAATGCATCAGCAGGTATTGTTTCCAAATGATTGGATCGTAATTCTAGAAATTCTAATTTATCCAATCCATTGATAACTTGAAACATAACATTCGGTATACTAGATTCTTTAATGAAATTTTTCAATCGAAGATCTTTTAAATTTGGCAGTATACGTGCCAAATTCAAAACATTATCATCCAAAACGATGATTGGTCGATTTTCAATGTTTACATCATTAATATTATCTTCTTCAAAATTAATTGAATCATTTTCATCATCAATAGCTGTTGATGATGATGATGATGATGATGAAGTCATGTTGATAATCGTATCTTCTGGTTCAATGTGATTGATATCAGATGACATAACCGTTGTTGTCATTGGTTTGACTGTGGTTGAAGTTGATGAGGATGGTAATGCAGCAGATGGTGATGATAGCGATTTTATGCTAATACCATCATCATCAGAAGCAGCAGTATTAATCGTTGTAATTAATGTTTCATTGATAATTTTATCTTCAGATGAATCAACTGGGGATGGCGGATCTGAAATCGATAATGATCGTCCTAATGGAGGTAATGGTAATGGTAATACGGTTGTTGTCAAATCTGAAACATTATCATCATTATCACCGCCACTATTTAATGTTGTTTCTATATTTAATGGTAAAACTGTCGTCGTTGCCTGGTTATCAGATGGTGATGAAGGCATCTCATCTGTGGTCTTAGTAGTAGTAGTGACAATTATTGAATCTTTCTTATTATCATCATCATCATCATCATTATGGTTAATTAAATGTTCATTACGTTTGATTCGTTTCGGATGATTGACGTTGAAACCGTTTATGATGGATGAATATGATGATTGTGGTAAATGTGTGTCAAATGTTTCAATAGCATAGCTATCAATATCGTTAAGATCAAAATCGGTCAATTGTAATTCTTCCAATGTTCGTAGATCACTTAACAGTGTATTTAATTGCGTAACACTAACACGTTTACGTGATTTAATCACTAATGTTTTGATGGATGGTACCGTATCCAAAAATTGTTGTCCGATTGTTGTTGTATTGATAGTGAAACTATGTGTACCAACAGTGGATGTCAAATGAAAACCACCACCACCACCACCACCATTTTGTGTGGTTGATGTTTGTGTTCGATCCAATATAAAACTCAATGGTAATGTTTGTGGAAGCTCACAATTTGAAATCACAAAATTATCGATACGATCGATTCCAAAACCTGAATGAATTGAAACAAAACAAAACAATGATAATTAATTGATTTTGAAGAAAAAAAAATCAGTGAAAAAACCTTGAAATAATGCAGGTTTAAATGCGGGTACTGCTTTATCACATTCAATTTTCAGCGTTTGATGTTGTACATCATATTTAACAATGAATGCAATCGGTATTTCACCACCATAATCAAATTCAATGCCATCTTCTGATTCAAGCCATTTATTATCATCGTTAATATCATGATTATCAGCCATAGAATTTGTTGATGAAAGTGAATCTTCATATACATTCAAATCGTTACCATTAAGAAAACAGGTAATTTCCCATCCACCTTCATCTTTGACCGTACAATCACATTCAGGTTGTGTTAACATCATCATATGATGATGATTTGACATGATAAAATCATGATGATGATGTGATGATTTATTGATGAATTAACATTTTTTAAATGTAAATTATTTAAAGATGACGATGATGATGATGAAGATTTTGTTGGCATTGTTAAACGTGGTATTAGATTAACATTTGGACAGCTAATATTATAAAGTTGCCCTTGAACAGTATTATTGGCCATTAATAATAATGATGATAATATGGCTGGCATAATGAACATAATCATCACAATGGTTAATGTATTATACATCACATTTTGAGATTTATTTTTATACAAATAAAATGATGATGATGACGATGATGGTAATGAAAATTTTTTTTGTCGATAATGATGATGTTTTGTAAATAATAAAAACGATGATAATAATGATGTGTATCGATTATTTCTTATTGCTGGTGATTTGGCCATTATTATATCACTTGATTTTAATAATCGTTTATTTGAACAATTTGTTGTTGATTTTAATGAATTTGGCACTGTTGTTGTTGTTGTTGTTGATGATGATTCATCCATTTTATGATGGATCGTTATCGGATCTTTTGCATTATCATTATTATCCATCCAATAATGTTGTATTGAACAACTGTTGATTCCGTTATTGGTGAAAATATTTTGTTTCGATTCCATTTTCATTTTTTTTTTTTTGTATATGCGTACATATACAACAGCGGCAGTGGCAGAATATTTACATTCTGGGAGTGAAGTTTAACAACAATAGAAAAAAAAGAGAAAGAGAAAAAAAAATAAACAAAACAAATTAGTAACGGAAGTTTGAATGAATTTCAATTGAATTTATTATGTTTTATTTATGAATGAATGTTTATCTAATGATGGGGAAAGTCACGCACACACTTCAATTCGGGTGACTGAGTTTATCATTTTCATTCATTTGTGTGTGTGTGTGTGTTTTTTCTATGTTGGATTTTTCTTGCTCTTCTTCTATGACAAAATAAAATGGAAAAAAAAACTTTTGAAAAAAACCTGGGATTCAATGATAATGAATCAAAACAAAAAGTGCAAAACGTCAAACGTAAAAAAAGCGTCATTGGGAAAACAACTGGTGATAGACAACGACCACCACCACCACCACCAACATATGATATTCGAGGGATAATTCACGTCAAAATGGGAAAAAATTTTCTTTTTTTTTTTTTTGATTTTTCCATTTTTAATGTTATCACAAACAGATTCCAAACTCTTTTTTTTCACTAAATTATAATTTCCCATCTGAAAATGAAAACATTGAATAAATTCGTTTATGAAAAAAAAACACAGAGAGATTCACAATGAGAAAACCAAAACGACGACGACGATGATGATGATGATGATGATGACCAACGATGGGAAACAATGTAGAAGATTATTGTCCAGTCCATTTATTGTCATTGAGATGAGATAATATCACACAACAACACATAAAATGGTGAAAGCATCAATTTCAAAACAACAAACCATATATGTTCATCATCATTATTGTCATCATTTTAAATGAAATTTAGTCATCATCATCATCACCATTTTTGGGAAAGGGGTGAAACGAAAGAAAATTTTTTGTTTTCGGAAACTTGTTGCTGAACAAGCAAAAGGTTATAATATGTTCATGATGATGATTGAAAAAAATGACAAACAAACAAACAAACAAACGAACGAATTGATCATCAAATTTTAAACATACAAAACAGAGAGAAAGGAGAAAGAAAGAAAAAAAAATCTATGCCAATCGTCTATTTTATTTCAAAACAATGAACAAAACAAAAAAAAAATAAATAGACGTCACGCCTGTTCAAACAATAAAATTGTGCAAGCAAGCAAGGTGCAAGGTGCAAGGTGATATTTTTTTTTTTGTTTATGCAATAATGATAAAAATAGTGGAACAATAATAATAAAGGTGAAATCTCCAATTTTTTTCCTAGTATATATAGATAAATTATACAGGTAAATTATAACATGTGGTATTTTTTTTCATGTTATTATCATTATTAAATGCCGGTATCAAGGGCAAGCTATAATAGTTTGACTTGCCAATGATAATCATTTGACTTTTTGGAAAGAGAAGACATATTTTTTTACAACAAAAAAATTGTGTGTCTGTGCATGTTTGGTCGATTAGCGTAATTTTTTTTTTTTTTTGGATGTTCATCCATCCACATCATCTATGTATATATATAAATGGCAACAGGTGGAAAAAAATAATGATCCAGATGAAACAGGTGAATCTGAATTCGATTATGTGATGATGATGATGTGGTATAATCAATATTAGATTAAAACATCATCATTATTCGATATGACAGTTTTATTTTTTTTGAAAAAATAAAAATTCAGGCCATTTGAAAGCAGAAAAAATTTTTTAATTTCGAATTAAACATCTACATTGAAAAGAAAAAAAAAACACACACACACAATAAGATTGAAAGCAACAAGTGGAAATGAAAATTTTCAAAAATCGATCCGAAAATTGACAATGGATACCTTTGAAGAGTGAAATTTATTTTTTTTCAACGATAACACTGCCAAAATTGAGTTTTAGCATCAGCAGCAGCACAATCATTTTCGTCATCTTTATGAAAAAAAATTTCTTCATTTTTTTTCTATTTTTACCTATTTCACCTTATGAAAAGTAGACATCTTATCTTGATCCAGTATCGATATGCATTTGTGTGTGTGTGTGTGCGTTTTGTTCATTTTTTTTTTTTTTGTTTAATGATAATCAAAATATATTTTTGTAACCTAGATTCATGCGATTGAGGTGAAAAAAAAAAAAATGAAATGAAATGAAAACAACAACAGCTATGCCAATGGTGACTTTGCAAACATTTTTCATTTTGTTTTGTCAGCATTTTACACATTTAAAATACATGCTGGACAGCAGCAGCAGCAGCCAAGCCAAGCCTTTGAAAATTATCATTTTCATTTTTTTTTTCATTCGCAAACAAACAAATATAAAAAAAATGGATCAAACTCGGTAAAGAGATTTCATTTATCACTTTTAATCATCAAAAATAATCAATTTTTTGCTGTTTTTCATTTTGATAGTCTAGTAGATTTGTTGTTACTTTGTTGTTGTTTTTGTTTTGATCTAAATTGTATTTTTGTTGTTTTGTTTTCACCGATAAATGAATAATGAATAATTTCGACAACGACAACGCACACACACACACATTCACACAAACAGTGTCTATGTAGATGTGTAAAAATGATTGATTAATAATCGAATATCGATAAAAGAAAAACTAGATATAGAGAGAAAAAAATCCAGTGAAAATTTAATTAAAATGTACCAATGTTGTGTACCCGATGTTGTGTTGATTAAAAAAAAAATACAGCCAAAACGAAAATTTCTATCATCAGTGCAACAATCAACAAATTGACCGACCGACCAACCGACCATCAAGCCAAACCAAATGCAATACCTGTGTGTGTGAATATTAATCAAGTACAATTCGATTACAAAATTCAAAATTCTTTGTTATATGAATAAAATTCATAGAAAAACAATGAATAAAATTATTATGCAAAGAAATAAACAAGTTTTTCTGATTATTATTATTATTTGCATCAATAATTTCCAAACAAACAAACAAACAACAAAATATTTACAAGAAAAAAAAACTTGAATACGTCCTTGGACGAGTGTGTACGTGTTTTATATAATGATGATACACATTGAAATCATCATTTTATCATCGAACAACAACAAAAAGACAATTTCAATATATTTGATTTCGGCACCAATCAATAGATTGAAAATGGTATGATTATAGGAAAAAATCGAAGCGAGTTTAGATTTACAAAGATCAATGACAATTATCTTTAATCATCGGTTTTTGAGATTTAATTTCAAAAATGAATGTTGGAAACAAAAACAAAAACAAAATCAAAATCACAGCCTAGCCAATAATTGATGAATGATGCATTGGGTGGTCTCTGCAACACACAACACAAATGATTCATTGATTTATGCATGCATACACAGAAAAAAAAATCGAGACACACCAAAAAAGCAAAAAAAATTTTTGTTGTCGGATCAAACAATCAAATTAAAGCCTTTTTTCTTCATCTTTTTTTTCATAAAGCAAACCTAATCATCATAATCAGAAGAAAAAAAAATTTGAATGACAGTTATTTGGGATGATGGAAAATGCATCAAACAAACAAAAAAAAACAAACAAACAACAAGACAAGACAAGACTTATTCATATAAACTTTATTATGATGATGACTAGCAAAAATCAAATTGAAATTATTATTATTATTATATTCCAAAGACACAATTGAGACAATCAACCAGGAACCAACTATAGTGGATAGAGAAGAAGAAGAAAAAACATCCACGAATGTATACATGTCATAAAGCAAAAATATTATGTTATGATGATGATGATGATGATGAATAAATAAATGAAAATTAATAATTTTCAATCAAAAAGTTCTTCCTGTGCTTGTGTGTGTGTGTGTGTCTGTGTGTTTGAATAGAGGATTTTCATATGTTTCTCGATTGATATCATCATCACAATAACACAATTGATAGGAAATTGAAATTAATCATCAAAGATTGATTGTTTTTTTTTGCCACTTACCACCACCACAAAAAATGATTATTTTGCCAGGAATATTTTTTCTAATGAAAATTCTAATGAATCCGTTTTGTTTATGAATTTTTTTTGTTGTTGTTGCTTGTTTGTTCATTCACACACTTGTTGTTGCTGTTATCGTTCATTCATTTTACATGAAACACACACATATTTGAATGATTTGGCCAACAAAAACATTCAACGATTTTTTTTTCGTAATTGAAAAAAATGGCCATGAACAATGTCAATGATATGGTCATCAGACGTACAGATATGTTGATGAAACAATTGGATGATGATTTGGATGCCAATGAATAGTGGATACAGGACAAAGTCAATGTCTCAATGATTTTTGTAGTCTGATATGATGACGCTCTGATCGTTTATCGTTGTGATAATGACCGTAACGACGACCAAAAAAAAAAAATTTCAATTAAAAAACCAAATAATTGAAATCAACAAAATTTGGATCAATTCGCGAATGAATGCATCATTTCAAATCATAAATAAAATCGCATTCCACAATCAAAAAGATTCACACACACACACACACACAGGTGTTGGTTGATGATGACCTTTTTAGATGAAATTCATCATGAATTATTTCATACACACAAAAAAGAGTAAATTTCGCGTACAAAAAAAAAAAACAATGTTAAATGAATTGAATGATCATCGTGATGGATAAAATCAAATGTTTAACACAGCAAACAACAACAACAACAACAACAAGTTTAGAACAATCACATCATACGAGATGTATTCACATACACACACACACACACACGCATACTAAATGAATGAATGAATGAATAGAAAATATACAGACAAAGGGAGAGAGAGAGAGATTTAACCAGGAAATGAGTCTTTTTTTCGGTTTTATTATGAATGGAAGATGGCCATAGCGAGAGAGAGAGAGAGAGAGAGGATGACGTTTTTTTTCTATTATTTCTATTTTGCAATGATAATGATGATGATGATGACAATTTCCAAATAAAATGAATAGAGCAATAATTGAAATGAAATAAAAAAAAAAATTAAAAAAAATGACGATGATCAACCAAAGAATGTGGTGATGATGTCAATAATAATTTTGTTTGTTGTGGATAATGATGATTTTTTTAAATAAATAAAAATGATGTGATGATGCGATGTGTAAAATAATTATATGGCTGTTATTGAAAATGAAAAAAAAACAATCGTATCAATTAATCGATTCTGAATTATATTCGTTTCGTTAGTGATTGAGAGCTCATTGATTGTATGTGATAATAATATTGTTCATGAGAAATAACACAACAACAACAACAACAACGAAAAAAAATATTCGCTGTTTTTTTGGATAACGATGATGCGTATCATTTAGTTATGAACATCAGAAAACAAAAATCATCGAATCTATATATCTATCGTTGAAGATAAAACAAAACAAAAAAAAAATTATCGTCGTCCGATTATATTGGCCGGATATTTTTCAATATTTTCTGATCACTGTGTTTGTTATCTGTGTGTGTGTGTGGTAGTGGCAGTGGCAGTATTCATTTAATAAGAATTTCATTTTTTTTTTTTTTTTTTTTGATGATTGCACAAACACAGACACATATTGAATATTTGTATAATTTTTTTTTTTCGTTGAAAAAAAAGAACTAGAAATATTGAAAAAGAAAAATTCTCTGTATTTGTAGCCGATGTTCAAAGACACATCGACACCGTGTGTGTGTGTATGTGTCTGATATGTGGTGAGCAACAAGTGTGAGTTTCAAGAAATAATAATCTTTTTCGAAGAAAAAAAAAAGAAAGAATTTCGTAAATATTGTGTGTGTGTGTGATCATCGAACATTGACAGTGTGGCTGATCGTGTTGGTGGTGGTGGTGGTATTGGTGGTGGTCGTAGCGGCTTTAAACTCTTGAAGCAAGCAAACAAGAAAAAAAAATTTAAATTTTTCTTATTTCTCAACAAAAAAAAACCAAGACCACTTGTTGCTTATTATCATTACTGTACACAAGTGGTACAAGTAATTTTTTTTTTGTTTTTTCTCAAAAAAAAAAAAAAAAAAATCTCAGCTATCTTGGATGGATAACGAAAAAAAAGAGATGCTTTTCGTGTGTGTATATTGTGTGTTATCTGGAAATACAAGTTTTTAGTTTCTAGATTTTGCTTGTTTGCTTTCTTCAAACAAGAAATAAAAACCACTTCTTTAAATGATTGATAGCAGATGATGATGATGATGATGATGATGGTTAGATGTCTAGGTGCATCATCATCATTTTCCACTTTTCTGAAAAGATGCTTCTTTACTTTTTCAAAAACCGTTAGTTTTTCGTTCACCATTGAATGATAATGGCCGAAATTTTTTTTTTTCGTTTTTCAAGTGATGCTATTTTTGAATGATGATCTTATTTTGAAATGGGGAAAAAAAAACAAACAAACAAACAAACAAACAAACAGACAGACAGACAGATCGACAGTCAATGGATCGTATCGTTTTTGCACACCATTAAATGATTTACCATTGATCATTTGGAATGATGATGATGATGATGATAATGATAATGACCATCATTCTTATTCACAAAATAATAATGGTGGTGGTGGTGGCCAAAAAAAAAAATCCTTGAAATTGATTGAACCAAATACAAACACTTTTTTTTTATTCATTTAAAAAGAAAAATATTCCAATCGCTTATGACCCTGTTCATATATGACGGGCGGATTTGAACTTTTTTTGTTTGTTTGTTTGATCATTGATTCCATTTTTGTCGTGCAAATAATTTGCAATTCCCACTAGGATTTTTTTTTTTTTCACACACACTGTTATGAATGATGTAGTAGTTTGACTTTGACAAATTACATTCCAAGGATGACAGAATCCTTTCGTTTTCAACACGCATACACTTCAAACATTAATTACATCAGCCAAATTAGGTAAGCGATTTTTTTTTTTTTTTTTTTTTTTTTTGAAAGAAAAAACATTAATTATCAGATAGATTCCTTTTTATTATAAAAAGAAATCATACCACGCACTTTAATCAAATCTACACACTACACACACACACTTGAAAATACTGTGTCAATGATCTCTCTATCTATATCTGTTTCTCGAAACACCAACCATTAAAATATTTTACGTTTGTCAGTAATTTTTTTTTCTAATTCAATCGGTGTAATTTATCTATACCTGTCAGTGTGTGTGAAAATTGCCTGAAACAAGTTGATTGATCTAGTTTTCTTTTGTTCGGTTTTACAAGTATATATCAAGATTAAGATGATGATGATGATGATGGTGGTAATTATCTTAAATTTTGAAACAGAGAAATTCAAATTCAAACATTAATATTTCTCCACCTTATTGAGTGAAAAAAAATTGGATTTCAATCCATTCAATCCAGGAACAGGTCATATATTTATCGATATTTTCATTTTTTTTAAATATAAAAAAAATTAATGAATTAAATGATATGAGAGAATGAAAATTTGATCGATATCAATACATTGAAACAATTTGAATTTTTTTTTTTTTTTTTTTTTTTTGATGATGATGATGATTATTACGGGTTTATCCCATATACGTCGATGTATGTATTCGAATGAATGAATTATTATTGGAAAAAAAATTAATCAATCAATCAGAAAAAAAAGTACAGCAAAAGGTTGAATGCATATATGTTTCTCAATGGTTAGGCAATTGTATTTCGTTTTGTGTTTTGCCGCTATCAGTGATGAGGCTATGATGATGATGATGATGATGATGATGACGAAAAACGAAATTTCCCCGAATTTTTTTTTCATTTTGCATAAATGTTCAAACCAACAAATAAAACAGCGGTAAGCCATGGCAAATGAATGGATCGAATCAGCCAACCGAAAAAAAAGATGGAATAATTTTTTTTGAATTGATAAAGATGATGATGATGATGATGATGATGGTTGAAACAAGTTTTTTTATCATTAATTTTTTCAGGTGATCGGTTCGAATTCGAACTGTGTGTTTGTTTGTTTTGTTTTTTCCATATATTTCAAGGTCGGAATTTTTTGTTTTTGTTGTTGAAAAATCAACACAAACAACATTGGTGTGAATCTTGATCATCATCATCACTATATATCGTTTAGTTGCTAAATGAATGAATAAAAAAAATCATTTATCAAAGACAAAAATGAATATTTAAAAATCATAGATCACTATAATGTTTATGTTTAGAAGGGGTGACGAAATAATCTTCAACCAATTTTTGTGCATTTTTAGTTATTTCAATATGATCAGTAGGTTCGATTGAATCATCACGCATATAAATACAATCATTATTCTCGGCACTTGGTGATATCATTGGTTTCACATTGGCCAATTGGTTATCATCAATCTGATCGATTTGTTTGGAAAATTCAACACATCGTATAACACGATCAAGTGCATCTTGATTGATTCGTACCAATGAAAGCCGTTCAAGTAATGGAACTAATTTTGTTACCGAATGTCTTATGTTCGAGGCCATCATTCAAGTGTGGATGAAAAAAATTTAATTCATCGAAACAAGCATTTTGTTTTGATAGTGCAGTTTGATTGATTCGAACAATTGATTCCACTATATCCACAGAATAGGTTAGGAAAGAATGAAATAGGAATTAAATTTTTTTGTTTACGTATCATCCAAATCATTTTTTCTGGTTATTTAACAACGATGTATTAGATTATACTTTGTTATCGTTTTTTTTTTTCAATTCCCATTGATCCATTGGTGTTTTTTTTCTGGAATGGTTATGGCCCAAATAATATGATGAATAATCCGAAGAAATCGAGTGCCATTCTAAATATTGATGCTGAAAATTTAAAAGTAACTTCTATTGTCGACAAAAATAACCATGGATCTACGGATCATTCCATTTATCAAAATAATTTGCTTCGAATTGATCCGATTAGTCGAACAAAATTGGATACATCATCATCACCATACAATTCTATTATGAACGAATTGATTCCCTATCCATCTAGTTGTATTTCGACAATTATTGAAAAAGCTAACAAAGATGGAACAATCATTAGCTCGAATATTAAAGAATCATCGATTACGAGGGCGAAGAAACGATCTAAGAAAAAGGGAAATTTATTCAAACAATCAAGTCAATCAACAATTAGTCAATCTAGTCATGATAACGTAGACGGTGAATCAATTATATCATCGATATCAAACTGCCAAAACAATTGTGCTAGTCATGAAACGAATAGCCAAAATTTGAATTTCAATCAATCATTTGATAAATTAGATATGAGAGATATAGTTCGGCGTCTTTGTGAAAAATCTAATCAATCAACACAAACGAATGTAATTTCGATGGTTGAAAAATGTAATCAATATGTTCAGGTAAACATTCCAATAAAAGATTCGAGCAATACCGTTCGTATTGAACAACAACAATCGAATCAAGCGTTGCGTAACCAGATCAAACAATTGACCTATATAATTGAAGAAATGTCAAAAGAACGATCAAATCGTGATCTTTACATACATCAATTACGAAAACAATTAGTCATGATGGAAACACGGCTGAAAGAATTTGAAAATGAAAAACAACAACAATTAATAAATAGTGAACAATCGGAATTGAAACAAGTAATGTACAATAATAGTGAAACGGTAATTGCCACCACCACCACTTGCCATCAGAAAGAGATTTCTTCAATAAAATTGGAAAATGAACAACTCAAACAACGATTAAATGAAATGATTACCATTAGACAAGATGAATTAAAATTGATCAATGAAAAAGATAATGTTATAAATAATATGACTATTCATGTGAATGGATATCAACAAGAAAATATTCGTCTAAATAATGAACTATTACGGTATCATCAACAACAACAACAACAACAACAGCAGAACAAGATCGAAACGGTAGATAATAATAAAAATAGAAAAATGATAAAAGATGAACAAAAAGACAACGTAATTGTCATTCATGATAATGATAACAATAAAAAACATGAACAAGATCTTCAGCTGAGAAAAAAAGATGCTATTATAGTATTATTTAAACATCGATTGTTGGCCATTCACAATGAATGTAGACGATTACAACAACAATTGAATGAATTGCGAACAACGGTGGTAAATAACAATAAAATTTTCTTACAAGAAAAAAATTCAACCAAACAATTATTATCCAACACATTGATGATACAATTGTTGGATGAAACAAAATCTGAAATCATTCGTTTGAAACGAATGAATGAACAATTGTTACAAGAAAAATTACATGAAAAAGATCGAAATATTCAACTTAATTGTGAATTTCAATCGTGCATAAGTCATTTACGAAATGAAAATGACCAACTTAAACAAATGAACAATGTATTGGAAAATACATTGCAAACATTTCAAAATAAAGATGAACAACAAGAATTTGGTCATAGTTCAGAACAAGTCAATGAATGTAATAGTAAAATTAAAGAATTAGAACAAAATCAATTGCGATCACATGAAGAAAATTTTCAACTAAAAGAATTTATTGGCAAAATGGAAGAAAATAATAATGTTTTACAAATGAAACATGAACAATTATCAATGGAATGTGAAAAATATTTATCCAAAATTAATGAAAATGTGATTGAAATTGAAAAATTAACCAAACAAAATCTGGAATTAAACAATGAGAATGAACAATATCGAAAAGAAATGCAGCAGCAGCAACAACAACGTCAATCGAATGATGATCAAACCACACATACAATTATTGCTTCTCAAGATGATAATCATCGATCAATAACGGTTCATTATGATGATGATGGTGATTACAATATCAATGACGACATCAAACAAGTAATCCTACAAAAAGAATCAATCATACATGAACAAGAAATGAAATTAATTGAATTGGGCAAACAAATTGATTGTCTAAATCATGAACGTTTAGAATTTGAGAATCGAATCAATCAATCATTGCAATCATTACAATATAAGGAAATGGAAATTCAACGATTAAATATGGCCATTCTAAATGATGATGATAAACATCATCATCATCATCATCAGAATGATAATAATCAACAGTTAATCGATCAAAGAATTTCATTACTTGAAATAGAATTAGCAAAAGAAAAAGAACGTTCAAAAGGATTAAGTTTAACATTGGCAAAGGAAAAGCTTAAATCGTTGGAAAAAATTAAACAAAATCTGGAACAACATTCATCATCATCATCATCACCACCACAACAACAACAAAAGTAAGTTTGTGGTCACTTTGATTTCTTTTGTCGATATGATTGTTTTGATTATTTTTTCTTTTCTGTTTCTTTTGTCTCTGATGTGTTCCTACTATATACCACCTTTTCATATTGTAATGATGATTTGGTTGTTTTTTTTTTTGTCATATGTGAAAAACTCGTTCACGATGTGTCTGTAGTAGCTTATAGCTCATATAATAATAATAATGATGATGAATGTTACAAATGATTCGTGCATGATTTTTTTATCTTTTTAAAATTTTATTATTATCATTTGTGATTTATATTGAGAAAATATTGATGAATAAATTTTCTTATTTCATTTTTCTTCCGGATATTTTTCCTTTTTTTCTTTTCTTCTTTTTTTTTTTGTTTCAAATTGAAAACACTTATCGCCCACCCAAATCTCTTTCTTTTTCATGTATATATAAATGTAGACCATTGAAAAAATTACATTCCAGTGTTGATGAATTGAAAAATGAATTTCAAAATTTTAAAATGATATTCCTGCATACGTACAATAACAACAACAACAACAATAATAACAACAACCATGACCACCACCGACACCAACACCAACACCAACAGCAACATTCATCCTAATCACCATCATCACATTGCCAATTGCAAAAAGTGCCTTTGATATTTAAAACGCAAAACAAAAATTTTTCTTTGATCAATAATAAAAATAAAAAATAAACATTCCAAACATTTTTTTTTGTTTGTTTCGCAAAAAAATAAAAATAAAATTTATTTACAAACCTATTGAAAGAATCGACAAAAATATTGAATATATAGAAATGTGTGAAATAATATTAATAATAATAATCCTCAAGGATTATTAAACAGAGAAAAATTAGTGTTTTTTTTCATGTTTCATAGCCAAAATTTGTATAAAATAAAGAAACAAACAATCATTAATGATGATGATGATGATGATTATGATAAAAATATTTTTGAGGTTATTATTATTATTATAATTAGTGTTTTCATTTGTACTGTATATTTCGATGAAAAACAAGCGTTAATCTTTTTTTTTTGTTCTTATAGATGAGTAGTTGTATTGGCTGATTCTGGAAATAGATTATGATAATGAATCACGGGAACGAATGCAGCTGTAATCAATCGACCTATAGAGAAAATTTATTATTAAAATAAATAAATAAATGATTCGATCATACCTGCAAACCATCGTCCATGTAATGAATTAACAGAAGCGGTTGCCGATGAAATTGATGCACATTTAACATAAACATGACCATCATTTGATGTTGGATCTACATAAATATGTATGATACCACCATGTTTACGACATTCTTCAATTACATCATTTTTTATTTCTTCGGGCCAATTTGGATTCGTTTCTGTACGTGGATCAAACATATTAGATAATAAAAAACATTGTGTAGCAATGGGAACATTGTTATTCTGTTGACCACTATTGGAATTGACTGAACCATTTGTAACCGATTGTCCACTCATCTGTAAAGCTGTCATTGCTGCTTTTGGAAATTCAATCCCTGTTCCTTCGGCAAGTTTAGCCATCAATTGTAATCGTCCTGTGGCACCTAAATCGATACCCGTTCTATCTAATTCATCACAATCTAAAGCTCCATGATGATGATGATGATGTGAATGATGATTATCTGATGTAGATCTTTCTGTAACATAATTAACTTTCATAGGCCGTCCGGCCAATTCAAAACCATTCAATTGTTCGATAGCTTTTTTAGCATCATCAGCGTCTTTAAAATGAACAAAACCATACCCTTTTGAGCGATTAGTTTCGGTATCACGTGACAATTCAATTTTTTCCACTTTACCAAATGGTTCAAATATACCGCGAAGCATTTCTTCGGTAATATTAAAATGTAAAGATCCAACATACAAGCTCATTGGCCCGGTTATCGGCTGCTGGATACGTTGATGTTGTTTTGCTTGTGATGCGTTCATACTGGCCAAACGATTCTTTTCGGCTTGTGAATGTTGTACAACGATTGGTACGCCACAAAGACGAGTTCCTGTCAAAGCAATAGCCCTTCCAACTGAATCAATATCAACAAATTCAACATAAGCTATGCCTTTATGACGACGTGTTCGATTGTCCATGATCAATCGAACTTCACGGACTTTACCGGCATTGCTGAAAAATTCTTCAATGTCATTATGTCGTACACGGGCGGCCAATTGCATACAGAATACGGTACGTTGATCTCTTTCCTCTAACGGCAATTCTTTGGGCGGACTAGGCGATCGACGGTGGTGTCGATCTCTTGATGAATAACGATCAGGCGATCGTTTTCGATCACGACTTCTGCTTCGACTTGATCGATGTCTCGATGATCGGGAATGATGTTTACTGGATGAGCGGCTATTAGATCTTCGCGATCGTTTCCTATCTTTGCTACGACTTCGGCGACTCCTTTCGCGACTATTACTTCGACGTCGACGTTCATGTGACCGATGATGTTCACTTCGGCTTTTGGTTCGTTCATGTTTACTAATCATCAATTAATAAGAAAATAAAATTATTGTTAAAAATATAAGAAAATCAAAAAAAAAAATCTTACCTCCGTTTTTCATCCACATCTTTACTATATCCATTATTTTTCGATGAACGATCCGCATCACGGCTATTGTGGCCATCACCTTTTGATCCATGATGATGATTATTATTATTGTACGAAAAATCCTGATTATTCAAACGATTCAAATTCAATCAATGAGACAAGTGACATTATCATCATCATCATCATCATTTGTAGTCAGTCCAAAAGACAGCAATTTTTATCAAAAATTTTTTTTTTTTTTAAATTCGAAGAATTTTTTTTATGTGGGAGGGAAAGTAAATAAGAAGAAATATTAATGAAAAAGAAAAGAAAAAACATACATTTTAAATTATCATCAGTTTTTTTTTAAATAGCCAACAGTTTTTAAACAGCTGTTGTTTTTTTAGGTAATAATGAATGTTTGAATTTGAATGAATAATCACAATCTAAAGAATTCAAAGAATAATACGAATAAGCGTTGATTATTTTTCTTTCATATATGCAATATAAATATAAAATTTAAAATTTTCATTCAAAATTAACCATAATGATCATGATCATCTCATTAATCAATCAATTTGCGGCCGAAATCACACCATCAAATGCATCTCTGTGATTGTGTGTATATGTGGTGTCTGCAATGAGAGAAAGAAATAAAAAATTTTTTGTATTGTTTTCTTTTTTGCTTTTCAGAAAAAAAATGTTCAAATCCTTTTGAAAACACCCACAAACTTTCAATGTTGATATTTGGCCAGCCATCAATTTAATTCGTCTTGGTGATGAAAACATTTTTTATCATTTTAAAACGTCCTTTGACAATGGACAAAAAACATTCATGTTCAAAAAAAATGACGGATGCAAAATGTGATTTACGGTGTTATCATCACCTGATTTAGAATATCTAAACATCATCATCATCATCATCACTATATTGCTTTCGAGATCACAATCGGATCTATATATATGGGAAACATCAAAAATCAAAATTTTCATCATTAATCAAAAACGAATAATGAATGATTCCAATAATATAAATCGTTGCTTATTTTTTGTTTCTAGTTTGTTTGGTAAATATCAATGAAACGCCAAATAAAAGTTTGATTGGAAAAATATAATATAGTGATGATTGAAAAGGCAGAAATGATGAATCTTTTTTTTTGGCCTGATAAATAAGCTTACCTCGCACCAAGAATTTTGCATTTAGAATTGGTGAGAAAAAAAAACATTTGACACTTACCCTTTCACCGTCGACAGCTGCTTCAAGTAAAGCTTCAACATCAAAATCTTCAGCCATAATTTTGAAAATTTGGTTTATAACAAAAAAAAAAAATTTGATTTAGATTATTTGTTCCACGAATAATGATGAAATGAAATTCGGCTGATACAAAACGTGTAAAAACACATACAAAGTCACAAAACAAACAAACAATGGCTCACAAATGCATGCATGGCACTGAAATAAAAAAAAAAAAAAAATTTTTCGAGATCCCCATCATATAATATGTGACTGTACATGAATAATAACAAAAACAGAACACATAAAAAAATGTTTCACACTACTATCAATGTATAAATTTGTCATCCAAAAAGCTCCTCCCTTTGCATATATGATTTCTTTACAGTGTTTTTTTTGGTAATTTTTTTTTTTAGTAAATAAAACACAGAAAATACATTGATTGTGATGATGATGGTAACAAATAATGATTTGGCAAGATAATTTTACTCGTATTTTTATTAAATGGTTGTGTGTTTATTTACCAAATGAATCAATCGATCGTTATGTGTGTGCGTGTATGGTGTAGCTGACAAGCAGACAGATTTTTTTTTTTATTGTTTATCATCAATGATCGATTTTTATCAACAGATTTTTCTCTTCTCTCGTTTCTCGCTAATGATGATGATTGATGTCAATCATCTTGATTTTTTTTTCAATATTGATTGATCAACTATTGATACCCACCAAAGAGAACTGAAACATAAAACAACTCGTGTGTATCATTGTTGTTGTTGTTGATGTTGATGTTGATGGTGTTTGAGTGCGCAGCATCTTATTTCAATAGTTATGATCATCAAATCCCAAAATTCGTTGATATGATTCATATATTTTTTTAAATTATTGTTACTTGTGTTTATTGTATAATTTTTTTTTTCTTTTCGGCCATTTAATGGCTTTTGGCTATATTCTTTCTGGCTAAAATTAAATATTGAACTTTTTGGACACAGTAACAGAATTGCATTTGTTTTTATTGATCTTGAAATTTTTCTTTTTGTGAAATCTTTAAAAAAAATGGATGGCAATTCAGAAAGACGCCCACTTCTTTCCACATCAAGTCAGTCTTGTTAGTTTTTTTTTCATTGATTGATTATTGTTTTGTTTTTATTTTTTTTTGTTTTTTTTTTTTGATAGCTGGCAATCATATTCCTGATGTAATTCCTGTTCCACCAATTCGACCAGAAGATTTACCACAAAATATTGGAACAAATAATCTATTGGCATGTTTGGTTTGTGGTTCAATGATTGATATAACAAATAAAAAAGAACAACATGTTGTTAAATGTGAAAATTGTAATGAAGCAACCGTAAGTTATTGACATTTGACCAGTTATTTGGTCAATATTTATCGTTTTTTTTTGTTTTGACAATTAGCCAATTCGACCAGCACCATCAGGACGTCGATTTGTAAGATGTCCTTGTAATTGTCTTTTGGTCTGTAATGAATCAGCGATTCGTATATCCTGTCCACGACCACAATGGTAAGTAATTTATTACAATATTTGATTTTTAGTGTGTAATTTGATAAAAATTTTAATTTCTTCATCTTATTAGCCGACGTATCATCATAGTGAAGTCTGATCTACCGATCAATAATAATAATAATAATCGTTCTGGTGATCTTGATTCCAATTATGAACAATCATCGGTATCGATATTCTGTGCTCATTGTCATTGTTCATTTTTATTTAGCCGTGATGAATGGCTTGCACGTTGTCCACATTGTCGAAAATTGTCATCGGTCAATCCGAAATTATCACGTATGCGTGGCTTTATTTTTCTATCAATATCATTAATATTATTGGTTATTGCATTGGGTACAATATTCGGCACAATGGCACGTACACGTCTTGGTTATGGTGGTTTTATTGTTCTCGATATTTTTTTAGCCATCATATTCATCTATTTTATCTATCGTACAATATTCTATTTTCGTTTAAAAATCAGTAAAAGTACACAAAGCAGTGCATTTACATAGAAAAAACAAAACAAACAAACAAAATCAAATCAACGCACATCAATCAATCAATCAACAACAAATGAATGAATCACCAAAAAAAAAAAAAAAAAAAAAAAGAATTAAATCTAATTAATAAATTAGTTGATAATAATGCTTTCTTCTCTACTACCATCATAATAATGTAATCCATGTTATTTAAAAAAAAACAATTTTCAATGACAAAATTTATATTGCATAAAATTCAAGGCATTTATATTGTTATATTTCCATTTGTATTTTTCTTTATTATTATTGATTAATTGTTCATTATCAGGCTTTTTTCTTGATTTCAACACCACCACCCATACATTCAATAAACAGCATCAAATCATCATCATCATAAAAAATAAATGAGCAACAATCACAAGAGCAAGTTTTTTCTTTTTCTTTCCATTATATTACCTGTATAATTTTGATTAATTTTTTTTTAAAAAAACAATATTTATCATCATCATTAACATTGAACAAATTGTTGATTGAATATTCGTACATGGTTAGTGTGTGTGTGTGTGTAGATTGATGTTTGTATAAATGTATTTTTGTTTTCTAAAGGAAAATTGAAAAATTGATATTTTCCCATTTTATATAATAATAAAAAAAATATACTGTGTGTTTTCGTTTTTTTCTAGAAACGTTTTTTAATTAAACCCATTGTTTGTAATTTATTTGCAACTTTAGGCGTAACAAATATGGTGACCAATACACGTAATGGCATCATTGCTTTATATATTGCATATGCAACACCAAATGTACCACCAGTAGCCAGAATTTTCATATAAGTTTCACCAAATAAATTATGATCATTCATAAAACCGAATGCATCGAAACCATATTTAATCACAATATATGTTATGCCTAAAAATGTCAATGAAAGACCAATATGTAAAACGGTTGCCAATGGACCATAAAGAATAGCCATCCGTTTTAAACGTTCTCTGGTTGTCATTCGAATACCATCTTCCATGAAATGTGCTTTCATTTCCTTATGTTCTTTTGATTTTCCTGTTGTTGATTTTTGTTGTCGTTGTTGTTGACCATCATCCGATATTTGTCGTCGTTGTATATTCATCATCATCATATAATAAATTGATGGTTTGCCTAGACGGCAATCATTAGTAAATGTTGAAAGACCACTATTAACGATTCGAAAATCACGGAAATAATAAAATCGTTGTAATGTTCGTATTGAAATCATTATTATTGTCAATTTGACATCGATGTGTTGTTTGTAGCTTCAGAATCGTTGATTTTAAATGTTTCCAATGTGTTGAAATGATATTTTCATTTTTTTCCTGATTTAATTTCAATATAATAATATATCTACATCAACGATTTGTGTCAGGTGGAAATAGGGCAATGTTATTTTTTTTTCTTTATAAATGCATGCGTGTTCATCATTGAAAGATTGTTTTTTCAATTTTTTTTGTATTAACTTTTTTGATAATAATTTTATTCCAATTTAAAAAAAAAATATTAAAATTCAATACACCTGATTAATTACTGGTGATAGTGATTGGCTACGATCAACGTTTTTTTGTTACAGCCAGTGTTTCTTTCAAACAATAACAATGCAGTGATTTGTTTTCCGGCTTTTTTCGAGTAAGTTTGTACTCAAATATTGATGATTTAGTAATTCCCCATTATAACTCATTTTGTTTCTTTTTTTTCATTCAAAAATTGTCTAGTATGTATCACATTCAAATGATCATTATGATTTTTGCTGCTGATTGAATATTTTGCCTACTCAGCTTATTACGTATCATAGAAACAAAAATTATTTAAAAAATACACGTCATCTTTAATATATTTCGTTTATAATTTTGTTGATATTGTTACATCATTATAATTGTTTGTGTATCATCATCATCATCATTTAATTAATTTTATTATTAATTTCACATTCATCAATAATCAAAATGACAACATTGTTTCAAAAACATGAACGTACATGGCTAGAACGGATTGTCATACGAATATTGAAACAAGGTGTTATACCAAAACATATTGCATTCATAATGGATGGTAATCGTCGTTTTGCTGAAAAATTAAACATTAAAAAAATGATTGGCCATAGTAAAGGTTTTGCAAAATTAACTGAAACATTGTCATGGTGTCGTGATCTCGGTATTACACAAGCTACCCTTTATACGTTTAGTATTGAAAATTTTAAAAGACCTAAAGAAGAAGTAGATTATCTGATGGATTTGTTTCGGATACAAACGAAAAAAGTTATTGAAGAAATGTCGAAAATAAAACAACATGAAACCTGTATACGTATCTATGGTAATATTCATCTACTTCCAATAGATATTCAACAAAACATTGCCCGATTGGTCATCGAGACGGCTAAATTTGATAAATTTTATCTTAACATTTGTTTTGCCTATACAGCAAGAGAAGAAATAAACAATGCATTCATCGATCTACAACAATGTGTCGAGAATCATATTATCGAACCAAGTGACATTAATCATACGACCATTACGAATGCTATGTATTCACTAGGTCTAAACGATCCAGATATATTGATACGAACATCTGGTGAAATGCGTTTATCTGATTTTCTTCTTTGGCAATCATCATTTTCGACAATATTTTTCTTGATGCATTATGGCCAGAGTTTACTATTTGGCATCTTTTTGCTGCAATAATAAATCATCAATATGAATATCGATCAATTAAAAATCACGTGAAAATTATTTCCAACTTCTACAGAAAGAAGATGATGAATTCTGTCGAAAAATTTATCATAGCCATTCATCAAATTATCATTATAATAGTTTTGAAGAATTTATGGCCAAACGTGAATCAAAAATCAAGGAATGTAATGAATTTATTCGTAATAAACGAATTGAACATCTTTATTCAATTTTATCAGCTGCCGATATGAATAGTAATAGCAACAACAACAACAACCATTCTAATGATAAAACAACAGCAACAACAACAACAACAACGACAATTAAAAAACTAACAAATGGTAATCATCATCATCATCATAACATCAATGGACATGTCTATGAATTCAATCAATCACTGTAATAAATTTATAAAAAAAAAATTCCTGTCTGAAATAATCAAGTACGCACTGTTTAACGAATAAATGAGAGATGGATATAAATATTTTTGCTATTGCTGTGATAATAATCTGAATGATGATCATACAATGATTTCCATGCCAAGCTGGTCATTTGTCTCTAATACGAATCTCGAAAATCAATTGGGCTTCATTTCATTTTTTTTTTTTTGAAATACTAAATTTTCTAATGATTAAATAAAACTTTTTTTTTTGTGACTCTTAATCAAAATCAAATTGAAATGACATATTTTAAATAATGATAATTTCGATCAATTTTATTTCATTTTGTAGCTAGTGTCATCTCTTATTAATTATTTAAACTATTTTTTTATTATTAAAAGTGGCACCATCTTTTGGATTACCAGTTAAATATTTTGGTTTGTAGTTTTTTTTTGACCAATGGATGGCGTCATTTTTTTTATAGAAAAAGAAATTGCCAAAAAATACAAAATCGATGCATGAAGAATGAAATTCATGTTTATTCATCATAATCAATCAAAATAATCAATAAATTCATGGTTAATCAATAATTACAAACAATCACTGTCCAACGGATGATGATTACATGAAATGATGAGGAAAAATAAGTAGTATATAAGTGAAAGTTGACTAATATTTTAGGAAATAGATATGCATTAGGAAGTTTTGAATGTTAATGATAATAATTACTATTAAATGAAATCATTTACAAATAATCATTTTTATATATGATGTGTATGAGGATAAATCTATTGATAATCAAGTAGATATACTTGTCGTTTTATCATTGGTCAATTGTGATGGTAAACGACTGGAATTCGATATGTCCGAAATCGGTGATATCGATAATGTTGGTGATGATGGTGATGGAGGTGTGTTTGGACATGATCGACTATGGCCATCAGTAAATAAATTTTTGTCTCTGATTGTGATGATGTAAATGCATGTGATGGCGGTGGTAGTGGTGGCGGCAATGGAGACGATAAAGGGGATGAAAATGATGTTTTAGGAGCTTGAACCGGTGACAGATTAGATGATTGAATTGTTGTACTGTTATTTGGTACATTGGTCGGCAATGAAGATTGAGGATAGGGTGGAGAAGGTGTTGTCATTGCCATATTCTGTCCTGGTGGAGTGATTGGTGCCGTTGGTAAGCGAAAGAATCGTGGAAATTGTGTATAGAATGCAGCAGCTACAGCAGCTGCTGCTTGTGATTGTACATTGTGATTCAAATTCGTGGAACTTTCATTCGATGAATTCGATAATAATGGACTTGAACAATTACTACTGTTATTTGGATTATTTGATGAGGAAATTCCATCCGTACAGGTTAGATTCAAAGCATCGAATGAATTTGATTGTTTACCACTTGCTTTACTGCTGGATTTACCATTGCTAGAATTATTCACTTTTGATAATTCCGTTGAGGATGATGCCGATTCTGGCTGTGTAGAATTCATCGTTTGTGATGGATGTGAAAGATTTTGACCAGATAGAAAATTACGTGGAATATTTCCAAAATAGAAACTGGCTAGGGCAGGATTTACGGCCATCATCGAAGAGAATTCGGCTGCTGATCCTAACGAGAATTGAATTTGAAATTAAATAATCGATTGTATCCAGTTATAGTTTTATACCTGGCATCATAGATGAAGAATAAACATTGGAATTCGGTGAAACAGCCGTTGAATTTGGAGAACCACTACCAGGTGAACCGTTTTGATTTTGAATTGCAGATGAGGATGTTGATGATGATGTGATTGGTGCTGGTGGTGGTAATTGTGTAGAAGGTTGTGTCGTTAATGATGATGATGATGATGATGTTGAAGCGGCGGCGGATGTTTGACCATTAGGAACAAATTTCCATGCCGATGATGCAAGTGCAGCTGCTTGTGAGGCCATTAGTGCCAAAAATTCTTGACCACATGGTAGACGTCCTAATGCTGGAAAGAATTAAAGAAATGAATTAATGAACAGATCGATTGTCTATCAATGAAAATTACATACCAGCTGCATTTGCCAATGCTTGTTGATCATGTGGAGAAAGATCGGAACCAAAAAATGCACGAAATGGTGAATGTCGAAATGCATGTTCCCGTAATAAAGTTTCGACAGATTCTCTACATTTTTTCGTGGATAAAATTTATTTACAATTATACCACAATAAAATTTTGCCAAAAAAAACAATTACTTACATTTCATACCTTTCCAGATCGGTTAATCGACTGGAATCACGAAAACCTTTGGCAAATGGATTCGAATCAATCTTTAATTTTGTTATCTACAAACAAATACGATTATTTACAATCAACAAGAATCAATAAATCACTAACCAATTGATTTTGATATGCAGTAACGGCAGTGAAAACCGTTTCTGAAAAAATATATGTACGAAATTGTTCATTTTCCAGATTATTAATCATTAATTGGCTACTATGATGTGTTAGTTGATCCAAACGAAGTTTAATCAAATGTATTCGTGGCTGATATTTATGCATTGAATTAAGAACAATCTAAAAGAAAGAAACATTGATAATGGAATGTATGATAAAACTGATTGGATATAAAACTTACATGTCCATTTTTATCCATTTCATTATTGGTTAATTTTGTTTTTTCAAATGATACAATTTGTTTACGTAATTGTTCACCAGTGAATGGTGAATCAGGATGAAGATAAAGACGAATCGGTGATGGTGCATCAGCTTTACCGGCAACAAGCCATGAACTACGATGATATGCATAACGATAACGTTTATTATCGACTGGTACAATATCCATTAGTACAGCATATCTTGCCATTGGATCAGTATTATGAAATGATACACGACATGTTGGAAACATTCTTCAATTGTTGTTGTTGTTGTTGTTAAATGAATAAATAAATAAATAAACGAGCAGAAAAGCAGAAAAAAATATAATTTATCAATTTAAATGTTTCGCAAATCACAGAAAAAAAAGAGATAAAGAAACGGAGAAAAATAAACCAATTTAAACGAATTGATGATAAACTAATTGACAAATTGAATTAACCGGGAACAAAATTTTTTTTGGTTTCTTCAATAAGTGCAAAAAAACCAAAAATCAAAAAAAAGGGTAGCTTGATGTCTATAGACAACAAAACACACACACTTATGATAATTGAAAACGAAAAAAAAAAATCATTTCTGTTCATGTTTGTGTGTGTGTTTCAAATCATAAAAACCATGATTAGATCAATGTTTTTCTTCACTATAAAAGATGTCGCGTCAAATGATTGACGCCAAAGCTGATTTTTTTTTTTGTTTTGTTTTGTTTCTTTTCACCGATCGACCAATCAATCTCTGACCTTTAGTACTTTGCTTCTGAATGTTTTTTTTCGACAAATTTCACTTGTTCATTTATCGAAAATGATGATGATGATGATGATGGTAGTAATAATAGTAACGGAGATAAGAATTTTGTATCGACAAATAAAAAAAAAGAGAGAAAGAAGATAAAAGACACACGACAAACGTATGTATGTATGGTTGTATGGACAAGTAAAAAAAAAGATCGTAAGGTTAAAACAAAATGGACCATAGTATAAACATTATGATGATGATAATCAACAAATGGCCGGCCTTTTTTTTCTCTTCATCATCATCATCATCATCATTATCATCATTAATGACAAATGATAATGTGTCCGCCGACAGGTAATTGCATTGGCAAATTTTTGCCCGAAACACATACACACACACACATGAAAAAAAAGATTACACTTTGTAGATGAAGTTGTCGACGAAAACACATTTGCTATTGGCGACATCTTGACGGCTTTGAAAACATTGAATTTTTTTTTCTTGCAAATAAATTTCGCTTGTAATTTCTTATCTGTCTCAAATAAGTGTTTGTTTGTGTCTCTGTGTGTTGTTGGTATGTGTTTTATGGACATTTTTACTGGTTATTTCGTAAGAATATGAAGAGAAAAAAATTAAAATCTTAATCATCACTCACCTTCGACCAGTTTTAGTAATGATCATTTCAGTGCCTAATTCATGGAATTTTTCCCATAATTCTTTTGTCTCTAATTTTGCATCAATTTTCATTAATTCTTCACAATTACAACGTGGTAAACAAGCTGGATTAAGCTCTGGTTTACTGTTTGCATTACTATTCTTTGAATCATTGGAATTTTTACCACTTTTATGATGATTCGTTGATGATGATGATGATGATGAATAATGTTGTGATCGTTTTGTTGATGAAGACGATTCTTTATCACGATAATGACTATTTGATGAATATTTTGATGATTGTTCTTTATTGTTCAATGTATAGTTTGAAGATCGATTACTTGATTTTGGATCCGATCTTGTTTGATTATTATCATAATCATTATTATCAGATGAATTATTTACGAATGAAAATGCTGATTTTGGATAATTTTTGGAATTTTTCGATGAAGGTGACGCTTGTTGTATGACAGGTGGAGGTGGTGGTGGTGGTAATGGTGGTGGTTGTTGTATTGATGCAGTTGATGATGTTAAACCTGATGGTGATATCTTGGCAAATTTAGCGAGATCAGCAAATGAATTATTGAATTCGGCATTCAAACGTTGTTGTAGTGCTATACTTGGATGAAGTTGAGATAAATGTGCAGGTGGTAGGCTACCAGCGCGTAAAAGATTTAGATTAAAATGTGCTGGATTAAAAAATGGATTTACATCCGTCGGAATGGTGCCTTTTAATCCCAATAATGATGACGGATCATATGGATATGCGGCAACTAAATTTGGACTAATTGGTTGATTACTATTTGGATCCGATTTACATGAAACACATTCATCATCATGGCTTGAACCATCACCATTTGATTCAATATCGACAATATCATCAACATTAATCTCTTCATCATCATCATCATCATCATCATCATCACCAACATTATTATCATCATTATCAACATCAATATCTTCAACATTTACATTATTTTGTACACTATTATAATCATCAATTAAACGTCTTGATTTCAATGTTTTTGTTGGTCGATATTTATGTTCCATATCATGTGCAGAACGTTTACGTTGATTGATATCATTCCATTGATGATGATGAAGATGATGATGATTGCCATTAATTGTTGTTTGACTATTGTTATGATGATTATTATTATAACGTGTTGAAGAATTATTCAATTGACGTCTTGGTGCGGTTGTTGTTGTTGTTATTGTATCCACATTATCCACTTTATTCAAATCAGCATCTTTATTACTACTGATTAATGAATCTATGGAAAAATGTTTTGCTTTTGTAGACATTTTCAATGTTTGTTGTTTATGTTGATGATTTGAATGATTAGTTGATTGTTTGTTGGCCGATGAATGTTTTGAATTCGTATTGACCATTGATTTTGTTGTCATCGCTATTAATCATCGATGGCCATTCAATCTTAATTAAAGAATTTTTTTTTCAAGAAAAAAAAATAACCATTAGTTATGGTGATCGACCTTTTATATCGTTGGTGTAAAATAGAGAATGTGCAAGACACATTTGTTTTTCTGAATACACACACACACACACCAGAAAAAAAATTAAAATTCAAAACCACATGATTATGATTATCGACTATCATGGTCAACACAGACACACATATTGTATGTGTGTGCGTGTGCTAAATAAACCCAAAAAATTTCAACCGATTAATTGAGTTCTTTTTTTTATTTGAAAAAAACCACAAATTGATTTTTGAATTCAAAAAAACAAAAAAAATATTGACCGAATCGATTTTAATGAATATATGTAAAATACTGAATATTCTTCAAAAAGTCTAATCATAATCATATGGCTAACGAACAAATAAAAAACAAACAATTATGAACTGAATAAAATTGATTGATTTATTGCCAAATCCAACACATGTCCCAGTGTTGTGTGTGTGTGTGATCATTGTTGATCGCGTGCCATACACAAAATAATTTGTAAAAAAAAAAAAATTTCTTTAATTATAAACATTCAAATGACCTGAATGTTGACCTTTTTTTGTGGTATGCAAACAGAAAAGAAAATCTTTCAACAAACTCTAAATCTGAATTATTAAGACACAAAAGAAGATTTTCAAAGCCAAATAAGATTAATGTATTCAAATTAATTAATTCCAATTATGTGAATATGAATATTAATAACTAAATCTGACAAAATTTCGCTTTTACCAAATTAAAATGATGCTAAAACTCTTTATTTATTCATACACACACACACACACAAGATCACATACCTTGAATCATCGATGAATGGAAAGAAATTTTCTCTCAATTAATTAATTAATTAATTTGAAGTAAAAGAATGGAAAACAATTAAACGTTGATTGCACGGAAATTTTTGTTTGTTTTTTTTTTGTTTGCATTTGCTTTTTTGATTAATTTGATAAATTTTTTTTCACAATGATCACACATAAATATTCAATAATTAACTTCCTGTGAATTCACCACAAACAGGATTTGATTTGATTTTATTTTCAGCTTCTTGATGATAGTTGTTGATATACAAGCACAAACAAACACACAATAAATATGTCGAGTTAGTGTTTCGATCGATGGAACATCGAATAATGATCATCATCATCATCGTCATCAACATCACAGAAAAAAATATTCGTCGTCGTCGTCGTCGTTGTAGTCGTCGAAATCATCATCATCATCAACATCATCATTGCTGTCATCAGTATATGTGAAGTTGTTGTGAAAACAAGAAGAAGAAGATGACGACGACGACGACGAAAAGAGTCGATAGCTGATATGTGTAAAAGTGTGTGTGTGTGTGTGTGTTTTGTGAGTGTCGATATTATACACAAACAAAAGTCACGAAAAATTTGATCCCACCTATTTTTCTCACTCAACAATAAACATAATATACATCTATTGCTATAGCTTAAAACATACGACGATATATATGAGATTGAAAAGAAAGAGAGAGAGAGAGAGAAAGAGAGATGGATAGCTTATAGCCATTTACTAAATCATCACCAAAAGAAAAAAAAATCATCCATTCATTCATTCAATTGAATTGAATAGAATCGAATGAAATTCTAGATAAAACACTGGTTCATGTTTGGAACATCATGAGATGATCCAGAATAAACAGTTGGAAACTGTTATCGTAATTTAGAAATTTTTATTCTGGCAAATAATAATTGGTTTTGGGGCGTTGATTATGATGATGATGATGATGATGATGATATCACATATATATATTCTATACACACCCACTCACACTCATTCGACACGCACACACTATGAATCAATCGAAGCGATGACTATCGAATTGAATCGTTTATTTTTATTTTTTTTTTTTCTTCTTCTTTTTGTTCTGATCAAATTGAAAATTAGAATTGGTGGTAGGTTTTTCAGAAAAAAAAACCATTATGGATCGCCCATTTTTTCGTTTTGTTTTGGATCAACATGCGCAGCGCATTTCAAATTTGGAACAGAAAATCAAAAGAGAGAGACGGAGAGAGAGAAGAAAATTGAAGAAGCGACGAGTTGGTAAGTAGAGGTGAGAAAAAAAATTATACATAGTGTGAACACATACAAAACTAGAAGAAGAAGAAAAAAAATGAAGGTTCACAGTGAGATGTGATTCTCTTTCTCTCTTTTCACAATCATCATCATCATCATCATCTTGGTGAAATGGGATGCTGTAATATCAGTTTGTTTGTGTTTGTGTGTGTGTTAGATTGTCGACGACCGTTCGTTTCTTTTTCATAGTTTTATAACAGAATAGAAATTTATTATACACATTGTGATTGGTGAAATCGACAATGTTGGACGCGCCCGTTTTAAGGTTGGACTATAGTGTGTATGCAAGTGTGTATGTTTGGAGTTTTCAATGAAAAAAAAAATTTTTTCCTTTGGCTGCCTGTATTTTATAAATGAATGATATTCGGATATGGATGACTGCCGCCCTTCACACATACACATACAATGAAAAACAATATTAACACATTCACGTCTATACAACAACACCACCACCACCACCACCAACACATTTCATTTCGGGTGGGTTAAAACCAAGGGGGTCAAAAAAAAGGCATCCGCATCCAATATATATGTGATGCTATGAAAAAAAATGAACTGCCTTCTAAAATGTGTTTGTGTGTGTGTGTATGGTGGAAAGAAAAGAAAAATTTTCAAACACAAGCTGCTGCCGTTGTGATGCGGCTGTTTTTTTTTGTTATCGGGATGTTATTATTATTTGTCGTTTTCCATCATCATCAACATGATGATGATGTTGATGTTGATGATGATGATCATCATCATCATCAACAAACCAGGATCTTCTGTGTATGTTCTATTCATTCCAATTTAGTTGAGTATATATCAGTATTATATGATTTTTTTTTTTTTTTGAGTTGTAGTCGCAAATTGTTCGCATCTCGTCGACAACATCTCTCCTTTTTTCTTTTTCCATCGTTAGCTATATGTTGTTAAAACTTTTTTTTTCATGTATAGTAAAGAATGTGAACATCTTCTCCAGATGAACACAGGCGCCATCGATTATCAAAATCAATGCTAGATATCGAGAGAGAAAGAGAGAACGATTTTATTGAATTTTGTAATATGGTCGACACGACCGATACAAGTAAAGTGGCTAAATCACCAGAGAGAGAGAGAGAAAAGAGAGAATATCGATTCGAAAATGGGAAAAACGAACCAAAAAAAAAATCCTATTCAAATCACAATTCTGTTTTGTTGTTGATGATGATGATGACGATCAATCGGTAAATTCGGGCGTCATCATCTGGCCCTTTTAATTTATTATCATCATCATTGCCACACCCAATTTGAAATAAAATCAAAAACAAAAACGAAATCAAAACACAGCTGTAAATATGAATGAATGAATGAATGAATCATCTTGATTGATTGCATTTTGTGGTTGTTGTTGTAAAAATATTTTAATCTTGGTAATTAAATTTTGTTCTTTATTTTCAAACAAACAAACAAAAAAAAAAAATAAAAAACTCTTTGGAAACAAATGACAATTTCATTTCATTTCATTTTAAAATTGCAATATGCAATTAAATGATTGATAAAAAATTTCTTTGTCGTCGTTTTACTTATTTATTTTTTTTTTTTGTTAGAAAAAAAGGCAATAAAATTCGACTTAAAAATTGGCTAATGATGATGATGTGGTTTTTTTTCTGTTTGAGGAAAAAATTATTTTTTTTATGATCCTAAACACGAGCCTAGTTTTGGAATCAAAAAAAAAAAAAAAAAAAAAGAGAGACGTCCTCGTGTCGCGTGTCTGTGTGGTTACAATGTAAAAATTCAGATCAATGAATGAATGAATGAATGAATGACAAAGATACGCAAGCAATGAGACGGATGATGAATTAAATTAAATTTAATTACGGGAAAAGATTTTTGTTTTTTTTTTTTTTTCTCTTGTTGTTTTCGATGTTGATGTTTTTTTAAACCAACCAAAAAAAAAACAAGAAAAAAAACTGTCGCCAAGAAGGCAGTCGGTGGTTTTTTTTTCAAACAAAATAAATTATTGGAAAAGTTTTCAATAAATTCCAGAATCGTTTTTCAATGTAAAGCTGTGCAGTGGCACCACCACCACCACTTTTACCACCACCACCACCACCATCAAGACCATAGTGCCTTTTGTGTGATGATAAATGGCAGCAATTTATTCTTGACACTCTTTTTTTTTTGCTGGCTCAAACCAAACTTTGTTTCGATCGCGTTTCGGTTGATTGAAACGTTTTTTTTTCTTTTTTGACTTTTAGCTGTAGAAATATTTCTATCATAACCAACAACAACAGCAACAACAGTGTAGTGTATTATAGAATCAAGAATATCGAGCGAGCAAAAAAAGAGTGAGTGACATATACAGCATATATCCAACAGAATTGTTATCGAAACGAATCCATTTGTTGTTCATATATATTATAATAATGCTATAAATTGACTAGTGAATACCAGAGAGGAAAAAAAAGTTCATTGATTCTGTGTAGCTGTTTTCTGTATTCTTATTCACAGTAATGATATCCATATGAACTAAAGAAATTGGCAAAATCTAATCGAAACAAAATTTTTTTTTTCGCTTTTTTATAAAGACAAAAAAAAATATATCGACTTTTTTATTCGGTGTGTGTGTGTGTGTGTGGCAGAGGTTTATGTTTATGTAAAACACAACAATAACAAACACATTTTCGATTATGTTGACAAGTCTCTTAGGAGATTAGTGTTTGTGTGTGTGTGTGTGTGTTATGCAATGGAGAAAGAATATAGAGAGAGAAAAGATTTGAATTTGTTTTTGTTTTTTTTTTTTTTGCATGATTTCCTCGCAATATTTCGACGAAATTCGATTCAAGTTTTGTTTTTGTTGTCATTTCTCATTTGTTTTTTTTTTGTTTGGCCTGTCTGTGTTTGTTTGTTTTTTTTTCATTCACTATACAATCTGTCTGTCTTACAGTATAAGAATAATATAGAATTGAGGCGTAGTCATCAGTAGTGGAGAACAGAATAAGAAAAACGGAAATTCTGAATGCCAATTTGTTGTTGTTGTTGTTGTTTTTTTCTCGAGAATTTTTTGGACATATGTTATGTTCGTTTATATCGAAATTGAATTTTTCTTTTCTCTTTTTTTTGCATTGTTTTTTTTACAGCGAATATTCATGCTTTTTCTGTCAATTCATTGTTTTTTTATTCACAAAAAAAATTCGGGCAAGAAAAAAAAAGTTGCGGAAATGAACGAACGAAACAAAAATGGAATTAGCATCTTGCAATCTTTTTTCTAGCTGCGAAAAAAAATACCAATTCATCATCATCATGATCTTCTGTGAATTTCAAATGAGATAGAGAAAAGAAGAAGAAAAACATTTCCAGAAGCCCATCATCAAGCAAGAAGGAAAAAATCTCATTTGAAGAAAAAAAAAAAAAATCTGATAATCGGTTATATAACATGATCTTTTTTTTGTATGGTATCATTATTATCTTGAAAATTCAATTCATTCATTCATTCAATGTGTGTGGTATTTTTCAGCCATTTTTGTTGTTGTTGTTGTTATTGTTCGATTACATTATTTTTTTTGTTCATAATCAAAACACTTAATAATGATGATGATGATGATGGTCAAATGTGTAATTGGCGTTTGTGATGATGATGCTAAAAGTTGCACACACACACACACACACATTATGAATCCATCAATAATTATAGTGGAAAAAAAGATGTTGAATAAGCCAAAAAAAAAACAATAATCAGGTCACTGGTCATTTTTTTTTCATTTTTATTATGAAAATCAATTATGATTTTTTTTCTCATGAAAGAATTCAATCAATCAGCTGCTTCTGTTGCTGTTATTTATGATTTTTGCCAATCCTTTTTTTTGTTGTTGGATAATTTTTCAAATGATTCAGATACATTTGATGAGAACATAATGAATTCAATTATCTCATCATCGGTTTGATTTTTTTTTTTTTGTTTCTCATTTTATCCTTTACTACGTGCGTATGTATATGATGTAGTTGATGAAACACAAACCAGTGTTTAGTCAGCAGAAAAATGGTGTTCCAAAAGGGGAGAACAGACAATGTCACCACCACCATTTTTT